CACTATTATCATACGTCTTTATGTAAACTTGATATATAGAATTAATTAAAAAATTTCACATGCTATCAACATCAATTTCTTGGACACGCACAAAAATTATATATAGTCGAAGATATATTTAAAATTATATATCTAACCTCATCTTCATGTCTGAAGTCACATATTCGAATTTGTTTGGCATTTGATATTTTCAATAAATTTGACCTAAAAGAATGACACCAACTTCTTCGCACAACACTCGCCCATAAACCTAAATAAAATAGTTAAAATTAATTATAATAAGAAGATTAGGAATAAAAAAATATTTGATATAAATATTAGATTTAATTACTCACCAATTATAAAAAGTTTCGTTAAAGCTCGTTGGTGGATTTATATACATTTTAGTATAATGATGTGATACCTATCAAATTTTAAAAATAATAAATATGTAAATAAAAAAAAATTACAATATAATATAATCAATGTAAAGATAACAATATAATTTAAATAAAAATATAATAGAGAGTTAACTATATACCTTCAAAATTCTTTATCATAACACCACATGTCTATAGACTAATATTTTTTTGAAATATATTCTTTAACATTTCACCGTCATCCATAGCTTGTTTGATACGTAGAATCATGCGAACAACTGTCATACTTATTTATATATATATATATAACAAAAGTATATATAATTTACTTTGATACTAAGATATACTAAAAATTAAATAAAAGAACAAAAACAAAAACAAAAAAAATAAAAATTAACAATGTATCTTGTATCAAAAAGAATAATCTTATGCAAAGGATAACCATTCTCCGATAAGTACTAATCATCCACGTAAGCAACCCGTCTAAATACATCTACACAACAATTTAATAAAATAAATTATGAATTTTAAATTAGCAAACTATTATATATATATATATATTTACGTTTATAGGTCAATATACCAATGAGTTGGTCTTCTCTATTCACATGACAATCTAATTCATTTAGAGGAACAATATTGTGGAATTCGCGCAGAAAATCTTTGTCGGAATCACGTGAATCTTCGATGGTCACATTATGCCGCAATATTAGTTGATAATGTTGAGGTACTAATTTGTATTCTTTAACTGCTATTATCACTCGTGTGTTATGAATATTATAAATAGTTCATTTTGTAAGACATAAACTAAATCGGTCAATATTAATCACATGAACTATGTCTTGCATGACAAATCCCTGCAGTGAAAATTGTCGTAAGGAACAATTATAAATTATGAAAATATATATATTATCAAAACCGAATATATCTAAGTAGGGAATGCAATTATAGATATATATATATATACACATTAGCATCAACAAACAATATCTTCAAATATTATTTTTTAAATAATTTTTAAATATAAGAAGTTGTAAAGTTTTTCTTTGCATTCAATATTATTTAAATATCTCATCTCATTTTAATTTCTCACATTCATTTTTCTTTATGTACTTCTTCCTTCGTCTTCTCTTCTTCTTTGCACTCTCTTCCTTATACTAAAAAATTTATAATTCTCACACACTTCTCTTTGAACGACACTACAACTCTACATATCATACATTTTTTACATAACATCATAAACCTACTATTCTTCTCTTATCTAAAACCATCTTCTACACACTCTTCGTGCACAATCAATAGTTATAGGTTTGAATGTATTTTGTATTTGTTTATATTATTTCTTATTTTAACGCTCGTGAGTTTCATGTTTCATGAGAACGCTTGAACATAATTTTACATTCTAAAGGTTTGCATTTATGATTATATTAGTGTTTGATGAATGCTATGTCACTTGCAAAGATGAGATGTATATTTTTTTGGTATCTACTCATGCAAATAACATTTAAAGTAGTGATAGAATATTTGTAAATAATTAGTTTAAATATAATTATAGAATTTAAGTACAAAAAACATATATAAAAAACTCTATACAATTCCATGAGAAGAATTTGTTTAAAAATATAATTATTAGTTTATTTATTAAATTATTATCACTTTTTTGTGGTATTATTTAATATAATTTTGATAATTTTAAATAAATTAATTTTTGATATAAAATAATTAAAAAAAATTACTAATATCAATTTTATTTTTTCGAGGATCATAATATATTTTATAAAATTAGTTGAATTTTTTGTAATAAATACCATGTCATTAACAAATTGCAATCAATTAGACAAATTTGGACATGTAATCAGACAAAGAGAATAAAAGAATAAATTAGTTTTACTGGTGATTTGAATGGGTAACGGTGATGAATGGTGGAGCTTCAAAACCGCGAGGAAGGCGGGGGTGCAGGGCAGGGGTCGAAGGCAGTGAAGCAGCAGCGCAAGACAGGGGTCGATAGTGGTGGAGCTGCTGTGGATGGCGAAATCAGGAGATAAAGGAAGAAGAAGGGGGAGAGTTTTGGGAGGGACGGCTGTTGTAAAAATAAATTAAAATTTCTAAATTTTGAAATGAGTTAGATTAAACGTAATTTATTTTTTATTTATAATTAATATTAAAATATTTAGTGTATATAATTGTTGTAATCCATCAATCAATATAATTAATAAAATATTTAATTAAAAATTTTAAAAATCTTATAAATTAAATACAATAATCAATCAAATACTTCAATCAATCAAATTTTTTTACAAAAAGAAAAAATCAAAACCCCTAAAAAAATTTTACTTTACATTGTGGTAGGGGCCACAATGAGTTCAAATATATATATATATAAGCTTTATTATTTACTTAATCTTAACGAATTTCATCATTATTTTTTGTCTATTGCTGCAGTGACAAACAAATATTAATGCAAAATAACATATCGCATATAGAATGCATACTTCATAACATGCATCTATAGATTGAACACATAACAATCTATCATTTCGTACACACAAATACTACTACAATCAATCATGCCAAACGCTCAATGACCGCAACGCAAAACAACAACAAAAAAGTTTAAATAAATTCAATACATGAACTTACAAATTCTCATGTTTCTACGGTTAGTTCTAATTTTTAAAATGCATATACTAATTTCCACAAAAGAAATATGCAATTTGATTTCTATATTTGACATTTATTCACGAGGAATGCTAAAAAAAAAGAATTTCTAATTCAAACACATACCATAATAATCAAAGATCAAGTCATGTATTCAACTAATTCACCCGGAAATCACATAGGCAACAAAATCAATTACATTATTATTTTTTTTTTCTCTATTTTTATAATTATAGTTATAGCTATCGTGCATTTACCGTCTCATAGAGAAATATAAACACACATCACAAATTGACTAGCTACTTAAAATATAACTCAAAAAATATATCAAAACTAAAAAATAAAAAATCAAGTAATTAACAAAAAATTCCAAGAATTATTTATCTAATCAACAAAAAATAAAAAATAAAAAATAAAAACATACATCCAATCAACAATAAAATTTCAGCATATTATCACCCACCTTTTCACAAAAAATATATATATATATATATATTAAAAAATAAAGAATGAGAGTTTAGCTTTTTTATCTATAGTCGAATCTTATTTTACTTGAACCGTAGCTAATCTTTTAGTTTCGCAATCACTTAACTCCTTAGCTCTATTGCTATTATTGTGATATGTTCTAATGTTGGTGGGCTTTTTTTCTTGTTTTCTTTGTTCTTTTTCTTTACATCATCGCACCAAATATAATACTCCCTCCGTCTCATATCTAGATATTCATTTGCTTTTTGGACGTAGTTTTAGAAATATTAGCATTATATTGGGATGTAGTAGGAATAAAGAAGAAATGACTAAAATAACCTTACTAGTACGTGTGATATAAAAGTAATGACATTTGTGTAATATATTGTAAATTGTAAGGGTATTTCTAATGTTAGTTAAATAGTACAGTTACTAAAAAAAATGAAATGAATACTTTGTTATGAGACGGATTAAAATAAAAAAATGAATATTTTGTTATGGGACGGAGGGAGTAAGAAAAAATGAACCGACATTTTATTGTGACTCTCCCAAGTTCAAAAGCTAGTTCCACCATTGTTCATAACTAATCCACACATGTTTTATCACTCTAACAACCAGCATAACACATCTAATACAATGATAGATTGGGAATATAGAGAAGGAAATTAGGGCTTGGTTGGCAACTTTTTGTTCTTATTGAGAAATGAATTGAACTAAATGAAATCACACCGTTGCAGTGACGAATTTTAAAATTTAATACCGTGCTGATAGTAGACGTATAGTAACACACAATACATTTTATTACTAATATAATACAAATACAATATATAAACTAACAATATATGTTATAATCTCATATAAGACACACAACCGTTATATTAACACACATATTCTTATACAATATATATTTAATTATAAACAAACAACATGTCCTTATTGCACACAACATATATTGTATATAATAAAAACGTGTGTTATTTATATATATTACACGTGCTGATTAACCATTCTCCGAAAATGTCAAGATATCCAACACCCTACAATTTATTTTAATATTTTATAAATTATATTTTAAATTTTAAATTATTTAGTATAATTAAGAAATTATATCATTTAAATATAATATCTCAATTATATTTTTTACTTTTAATATAAATATAACATATAAATTATACTGTTTCTTTATGTTATTAATATTATTATTTAGTATTAAGAATGTTTCTAAAAAAAACTATCCCTAAAGTACTTCTAGCCAAAAAAAAAACAATAATAAAAAAATTTAAGCTTAAACAAATTGTTTCTTTGGAGAAAAAATAAATATAATACAGACAAATATATTTTAAAATAAAAATAAAAATAAAAATAGAACCAGCCCTTTTCGAAAGACCATTCAAAGAGAGTCTTAGGTCTGTTTGTTTGGGGGATTTGGAATAAAAATTTTGAATTTGAATAGTTGTATAATATGATATAAATAGACGTTGATACGATATTTTGAATGTAAATGGTGGATTTAAAATCTAATTCCCCAAACAAACACACCCTTAATAAATACAAAAACTACACGATTTAATGTTAAAGCTTGCCCACATTACACCATCACATAGATGTAATTGAGATGACAAGTCCATTTTAATTATTAAAAAAAGAAAAAGATGATGAAATACGAAGCCCCAGACAGAATAGGAAGCAAATTCAACAACAAAACACTTACAATAAATCAGAGTTTCAGCTGATATAACTCAGCAGCTCAGCAGCAGTTGCAACAGCTCCACCAGTTATGGCGTCGGCCACAATCTTGTCCCGGTGGTTGTTTCCGGCTGCCGATAGGAATGCTCCGGTCAATGCACCTCCCAACATGGCATTCTTCTGCAAAAAGTAGTCAGTGTAAACAAGATAATAATTCAGGATACAGTCAATAATATATATAGATACTATTAGACAAGACGAGCTCACTGTTGGAAGTTGGAAGTTGGAACAATAAACTAAATTCTAGTAATTTTAAGAACCAAGAAAATCGATTACAGGAAGAGATATATGCAGGTGCACAACATATTTTCCATCAATCTTGATAGTCTATGATACAAAATTTACAAGCAGCTGTATATTGTGTTTCAAGAATTACCCAATCTCTCGTTCCTCGGATTCTTTCAACTCCATATTCCATTCCAACGTAAACTCCCGCCATTGTCCCTGCAAGTGCAAGTGGTGAGACTCGAATCAGATGTGTAACAACGATTTCCTAATTTGCAAATGGCAGCTCTATTGTCTGTCAGCACTCATCAAGAATCTTAGTGCAACTCACCCCAGTATACACCTTCCTTGCACATCTTCTTCAGCTGCAATAAGAACCAGTTTATAATCGATTTCCAAGATAGTAGAGGGTCAAGGACAGATGCTTTGTATATTGTTATTTGTCATCTTCAGCTCTTGTAATAATAGAAACCTTCTTAGTCAAAAATGTTTTTCTAAACTTGTGTGAATATGAAGATACAAAGGTGAAAAATGAGACCATTATATGGAAGCCATATTCTTAAGCTTTACAACTACTAGGGTTAAAAATAAACCTTCTAAAACTTAAGTTAGTAAAAATAAGTGTGTAAATTACCCAATTGTGTTCCTAAAAGCAATGCTATTAACAGGGGAGTTCTCAGTATAATAATTTCTTTAAGAATGTGAATATAGTGTAAGAAAATTATATTTCAACGGAACAAATGCATACCGTGACAACTTAGATAAATGTTCCCCCAAAATTGTAAACCCTAGTGCCTAAAATACAACCAAAGTAGCCGTTAAAGTGAAAACAATAAGGGACACAAAATTTAGTAACCTAGTTTGATATCTATGTCGGGATCGCTGCCAAGCTAGGAATTTCACTATTTGGAATTATGATGCACACTCACACTAATCACTGCTTTGTCACACAGCTCACACTAGAAAATAAGAATGTGTGGATATATATAGGGTAGCAACCGTAGGCCAACAACTGGCCATGTCAATAATACCCTAACCTCATTCTTATTTGTGTTTTAATAATGTTTTATAATCTAATGGTAGACTTTTAAATTTGGTTTCTTATCTGATCCTAAAAGATTATATACACTTAAAATGTCCATGGAAAAGCGAGGCTTTCTTCAAATGCTAGTTCATCATTCAAGAATCCGATTTTTTAAGTATTTCTATCAACAGCACCTTATAATCTAGAAGCATATCTTGGTGAACATGAACATGCATCAGTGTATTAATGGATGAGATAAGGGTGTTCTCACCGATTGCTCGAATTTGTGGCTTGAAATATTCCCTACAAAATATAGCCAAATCATAATATTTAGGTATAACTCAAACTAGAGAAACATAATCCATAATACATGATATACATACAAAGATTAATACAACAGCATGTTTCTTGTCCAGATCTACGAAAATATAAAAGCCAAGTTATATTCTACTAAGCTTATATTTTCTTGGTAGGATTATATGTGATAAATAATTTATCCAACCCAATCACAAGTTCACTTTGGACACTAACTAAATCTTCGTTGTCCTTCCCAGTAATGAAAATTTTGTGCACTTCAAATAGATTATCAGATTCGCAAAAACGCCGGCATTTACAAACCACATTTCATGCTTACAACCGGAACAACTTTGAGGAACACATCAAAAATTTTCTTATTAACATATACTGAAAATTGCAGACTAACAACAGTGAAATCAATAGAAGAAACAGAGTATCAAAGTTACCAAATAACCAATTCATCTTTACAACAGATCACATAAATCTCCAAACATTCATAGTCAGATTCACAAATAATCATGGATTAGTTGTTCTATAATCTACTAAATAACATCAGGTTAGAACTCAAAACTTCAAGCATTTGATTCACACTCATTAACCTCTGAAATTAAACCTACAAATTCCGTATCCTTCAACATCCTCACTGCAGCTTATCCCAAAAACTTCCATTACATTTACACCACCAATAAATCGATCGGATCTACCTAAACTCCTGAGAATTTCAATCTAGCAGGCAACGCTAACCTCGCTTAACAATGTGATAGGTTTCATCCGCAGCTACTTTCGCAGCAGCCACCTGAAATTAACAAAAACGTAAAAATCCACAAATGAGAACAATAACGAAGCCATGTAGAAGAGAGAGTAGGAATAGAAATTGTATCGGTCACCGTGCCAATCTTCAAAAATCCATCGATGGTATGATTGAGGAAGGGATTGCCCATATCGACAACCACGTCCACCTTTGGAGATGAAAATGCCCCCGCAAAGCTGCTCCTCGGCATGGCTGCACCTGCACTCACAAAATGCCCTTCCACTTCAATTTTCGGTGACGTAGAGATGCGGGTGCTGAGTTCCTGTCCTCCCTCTGTATGTAGCTTTGGCTGCACTGCTGTTTCTTCTCTTTCTCTCTGCTCTACTCAACTCCCCTTTCATGGGGATGGGCTATTTTGTCAGCCTCAACCCATATTTCGACACGTGTTCGCTTTGCTGTATTTGTGATGACACAGTGGACGGTCCTGATTTACTCTCCAATCTTAGCCGTAAAAATTTTGGTTTTTCTTTTTTTGCCTGGCTGGCGCTCAATAATAATTATAGGCTATGCTTATTCGAAGGATTTTGCAAAAAAAAATAAAATTTATTATTCATTTAAAATTTTTATTTAAAAAATAATAATTATTTTTTATTTATTATATTATTTTAAAAATTAATTTTATATTTAAAATATTACGTCAACCTCTATAATTTATACGTGATCAGTAACTATTTCAATTCAAAATTTTTAATATTCAAATTTTTATTTGTACACGGATCCATACCGATTTTTGTACATATGACACGTGTAAATATGTGATTGCACCCCAAAGTCTGCCACTTTTGTTGGTTGGAATTGTTATTAAATTTTCACAAAAATATTAAATTAAACACTTATTTTTTATTTTTATATTATACTAAAAATTAATTTTACATTCAAAATACTACATCAATACATATTTATATCACATCATACAACTAGTTAAATTCAAAATTTTTACTATTCAAATCTCAACTCAAAATCCAAATCCCCAAACAAACACACCCTAAGTGAAGTCGAATTAATTGGAATGAAATGTGATGAATTTTGTGTAAACTTGTGTTTTTTAAGTTGAATTAATTTTTTTTAGGTACAGGTAAAAATTGGGTTTGTTTCTTTAGTCATCAAACTCCAAGTTTCTACTACTTAGACTCTGCATTTTTCCAAAAAAAAAAAAATATATAATTTTTATTCTCATAAAACATCACATCATATATTATTTTAATACAAAGCTCAAACCAAGTTTTTTTCAAATTTATCAAAAGAATATATTTGTGTTTGTTTGAGGGTTTGGATTTTGAGTTGGGATTTGAATAGTAAAAATTTTGAATTTGAATAGTTGTATGATGTGATATAAATATGTGTTGATTTGGTGTTTTGAATGTAAAATTGATTTTTAGTATAATATAAAAAATAAAAAATAGGTGTTTGATTTGATATTTTTTGAGGAAAAAATTGAATAAATAGTGTAAATCCAATTCAATCCAATCCTCCAAACAAACACAGCCTGTAATTAGGAGCATCAAATCTTTTATTTTTCATATTTTCCTACTCCCTGTTCCTTCAAATAAAATGATGACAGCAAATGAGAGATATAAAGTATTAATAGAATTTAAAATCATGTATATTTTAACTATATTCTCGATCACTTATTAATTTTTTTGTTTACGTAAAAATTATATTTAAATGCAAATTTTATTCAATTAGTTTTTATTTCAAATTTTTTTGTTATACCTCTCTAATCCCGGGTCTCAATTACATTATGTGTAATTGTACTTAACATTAAAAATATTATTATATTTGTATATTTTTTTACAAAAATGTCATTATAATTGTATTATAAGGCACTAAGTATTTTTTTTTATTTTTCTTTAATTTGTACTATATTTTCATAGAATAATTAATATTCAAATATCAATACGCAAAAAGTAAATGAGAATCTTAGAGCCGACGATGTAGTATTATTTTTACTTAGTAGAATACATGTGCTATCCATGACAAAATGAACAAAAAAAAAATTGAATTAATAGATTATACATTTTTAACTAATTTAATATGAGTTTTAATATGTGTATTTTTATTTATAAAATAAAAATATATATTTAATGCAGTTGTATACTCTCTCTCATCGAAATATATATATATATTTTTTCTTTTGACATGAGTTTTAATGTGATATATATTTTTTTACTTTTTGTAATAAAAATAAAAATATAATAAAAAGTAATACTCCATCTATCGGCTCGGATTAAGTGTTGATAGGCAAGAATTGGCACCAGGCTAATTCATTAATAGTCATTAGATTATAAAAATTAATTTAATAGCTTACATTAATTAAGGGTATAGGAATAATTTCTTTCATTTATCTAATTAATATAATTGGCTCTGTCTTTCTTTCATCCATCCTCATTCCTTCCTCGCGAGCTTTCAGTTTAGCATTTACGCGTAATCGAGAAAGCATTTCATATTATATTATACAGCATCAAACTTGTTCTCCCTTATCTCACCTTCACCGTAGCCCACTGACATATTTCTTTGCGCTTATTTTAATACATACTTTCTTCGGTTGAACATCAACATTTATATCTTCTTCACATGAAATCTTTGCACCGAAATCAAGTTTCGTATTCTCTCTAATATACCCAATGCTTTGATTCTTCTCGTACAACAAGATTTAAACAAAAGACTCCTTCTATATTCTGCAAAAAAATTAAGCCTTGAATTGACATTTCCAATCTTTACCAACTTCTTCTCACTAGACAAAATTATTTCAATCTCAACATTAACTATATACTACATGCAACAAAAAACATATTAGTACTTAATTTATACTATAAACATTATGCATTCTATAAGTTAGCATATACAAATCAATCAATAAACATTTTTAGTTGAATTGTTAAGCACACAGAACTACAGATACTCACAGTCTTGTACGAGGACAAACAGAATCTGAATATTGATACACCCTTCTTCTTACTTCGTCGGTCCCGGTCGGTAGTAGAAAATGTGATATGTGATGAGACGTAACGGTTGCCGGAAAGAATGGAAGAGAGGTGGCGGTAATTGACAGCAGAGAATGGGGGAGAGAGAGTAGAAGAAATAAGGGAAAGACTGTTTTTTGTTGGCGGTGTGGCCGGAGGGCTACGACGGTCTGCGGTTGTAAGGCTACGGCGATCGGAATTGGAAGAGGGGTTCATGATGGTTTAAAGAAGAAGAAGGGGAACAAACGAAAATAGAGAAATTAACCCTAGATTAATTTGGAACCCTCTGAAAATTAAGTTAAAAAGACTATCATACCCTTGTTTAATCTAGACTATTATATTTTAATCAAACAAAATTAAAGGTCCAAAATTAATTAGCACGGTGTTGATGGTTGCACCCATCACCACCAGATTCACCTCCCCTCTATCAAATAAGAATGGTTCCATTTCTTATTTTTGTTCATCCTAAAACAAGAATATCATTTCTAGTAATGGTACTACCTACCTAGTATAATAAATACCCTTACAACTTTCAAGATATTAAACAAATGTCATTACTTTTTTATTACACAATAATAATAAGGGTATTTTCTATTTGATTTTTTTTTTGTAAGGTGTTAGAAATTTTGGCCGTTCGATACCTAACTCAACGAATCCTTTGATAAATTGATGATTGATCCACTCCTTAGCTTGACCCACCGGATTTGGCCCAAACTCATAATGTCAATCCCTAACTCATTTAGTTAGAATTGGTTATAACCGTGAGTAGTTATACATTAGTTAGAGATAAATAGTTTGAGAGAGTTAGTGAGTTTAGTTTCTAAGAAAGGCAGAAACCAAATAGAGTGAAAAAATGAGAGAATAGGAATAGAGAGAATTCTGGTGAATTTCCAGTGAGTGTAGAAGCCATTTTCAGCGGCCGATTCCGATAAAGGTCGAGATTTTGAGTGAAATATCGACTTCCATCTTGAGGCGTGGTTACCTCGGACTATTTCGCACCAAGGGTTTGAGATCAATAGCCATCCTAAAATGAAATGGCCATCCTGTTTTTGAATTTGTCGGGTTAAAAAATTATTTCTAAATTTAAAAAGAAATTTACTCGCTAATTATGAAAAGAGAAACAAAAATAACAAAAAAAATGTAGAGATCACCTGAGATCAATAGAGGAAAGAACTCGAAATTATTAGGTCTCTAATTTCACCAATTTTATTATTTTTTTAATGTAAATAAAAAATAAATACTTCCTCTATCTCACATAATTTGTTTCTATTTTTTATTTTCATCCGTCTCACGTAATTTGTCTATTCCTTTTTTAAAATATAATTATACATTTTATCACATTTTAAATTTTATAATTTTTTTAATTTTAATTAAACTATTTAGTTATTTTAATCTCAATCTATAATTATCTTTACTATACAATAATTATTTTTACTAATACACTTCTTAATTATTTATTAATTATATTTTACCTAAATTATCGTATCTACGGTAATGCGTTCATATTACATAGGACAGAGGGAGTAAAATATACAAAAATTAGATAGAAATGATCACAATAAAATATGAATATTTATTACATGTGATTTTTAACTATAAATTCCCAACATCTAGATCATATTTTTTTTCACACATAGATTCAGAACAAGCTAAAAGAAATCTCAGACGACTCAATATGATAAAAAAAATCTCACATAACAAAATTAAAATAAATAAATTTATAAGTGGTTACCGCTTAAGTAGTGATAGACTATCTCATATGCTTGATTAAAAATCAAATCTTTCTCTTTCTCACTTTTGTTATGGACGATTTTAGCTAGATTATTTGGTTAAATTAGTTATCATTTGTATATAATATTTTGGCTAAAAAACTAGTTTTTCATCTATCCGGCCACAGACGATATGTTTTTATTTTTTGTATGTCTCATAAAAGATAATTCAATCATATTTTTATTAAATCTATTAATTTTAAATATACTTAACAAATATATATCAATTTAATTAAATTCTCATCAATAAATATTTTTTATCTATATTTAAAACTTCTCATTTTTTTTTATAAAATTACTTTTAAGTTAATTATAAATAAATAAATCTTTTATTTATTTTTATTATATAAATTTTAAATATAAAAAAATGATATTATATATTTTATTAAAATATAATACGAAAAATATTTAAAATACTAACAACACTATTTATATTAAAAAAAATTAATAAAATAATATCATATATTATTATTAATACTTTACAAATTTATATTACTTTAAATATCGTATCACTAACCAAATGAGTTATTTGAACTGGGGACGGAAGGACTACAATCTATTATTATTACTCCTCCGCTCCTTAACAAGGCATTTATCTACTAATTGTATCATTGTACTTAATATTAAAAATATTCTTATATTTGTATAATTGTTTTTATAAATATCATTATATTAGTATTATAACACACTAACAGAAATATTTTTATTATTTCTCTTTATTTGTAATATATTTTGATATAATAATTAATATTTAAAGACCAATATACTTAGTTATGAGAACGAGTGATTATTATTAATATGTATGTGGACTTTATTTTAATATGAACCAAGTAAAATTTAAATAAATTCAAAATTCCAAAAAAAAATTGATTATTTCGAAAAAAATTTCTAACATATTCTTTTTAAAAAAATTAATATACCACACATTAATTATATTTGTCTTCAAGTATAATATTCTCTATATCTCATATAAATTTTTTTTCTTTAAATCAAAGCATAAAACAAACATATAATATTTTCTTGTCTTAATATAAAATATTCATTTTTTTTATTTCAATCATCTATATTATTTTTTTAAAAAAATATTATTATATACTTTAATTATACGTTAATAGTTTATAATTTTTATAATTTTAATTAAATTATAATATTTATTTAATATTAATATATAATTATTTTATTATTTTTTTAATTATTTTATTATTATTTTATATAAATTTCGTATAAATATATTAGTATAATTTTAAAAAATTGATATCTTTCTCTAGCCTCTATCTGATCTCCCTCTATTTCACTCGAACTAAACACACCCAAAAAAAAAAAAAAAGAAAAGCGGCGTCGCCATAAGTCCTGAACTTAAAACCCTAATTTTGGTCGTTCTATATAAGCCCTCTCTCTAAAACCTACAGCAGCAGTACGTGCACAGAAAAGAGCTACTCAAATCATGAACAAAGAATTTCTAGATTTAGATCTGTCTTTCCTTCCGGAAGAAGACAAGGTTCGAATTTCATCCAGTATAGCTGATTACGAGTTCCGCCAGAGGTATACCGAATGCATAATATTACTTAGGATTTCACTTTTTTTTTTCCCGGTTTTGTTCGAACTATGTTTCTTTTGTGGGCTCTTTCTCGAAAATATCTTAGAAACAGAGTTCAATTCGTGGAGTGATGAGAATGGCTGTTCTGCCATTTCCCGGCGTTTTTTTTTTTTTTTTTGTCCAGTTTTGTCTATTTCTGTTTCAGTTTGGGAAAGCAATTTTATCTACCATATATGTATGGGCGGAGGCTTCATATTTTTTAGGTTGCACGACCGATGTTGAACTTGTGCAGCTTTGTACGTGAAGCAACATCAAATATTCTCCTTTAAACCAGCGCGCCCTGGTTGATTGTGCGTCTGGACGTTAAGGGAATAACATTAATAATGAATATGTGATTGCAATTTTACGTGAATGAATACATTCATGTGGTTTAGCATCAGAATTGAAGTATTAGATGTCCAGACTTGGAATTCATAACATTGCTGTTCTATCTGGAAGATGGCATTCATTTGATAGGAATTGTGAGCTTATTTATTAGTGGCTATTTTAAAATTTCTTGAGAGGAGTTGTGAGCTTAGTATTTCTATGGTATAGGTTGAGTGTTGATCCATACATAGTGTGTTTTCTATTTATACTTGAGAGGTGTCAGAAGCAGGGTACATAATATTGCACTTTGGAAGTAAACAACTAATGCCTTTCAGAGAGATTTTTGAAACCTTAACATTGTTTATATGTAGCATTGTCTTTTCTTTTCTTTTTCCTTTTTTTTTTTTTTGCACCATTTTACTAATGCCATTGTTCTTGAATATATATGGCATTTTGTTTAGAGTTGCATTACTGTAATTTAATAACCTAGATAATATATAGAAATATATCAAGGTCTCTCTTCTATAGGTACTCTGGCTATACTTAGTTTTGATATATTATAGAGGTAATAAAAAGCTGATCAAATAATCTAATCCTGCCCTAAGGCCTAATTATTCAAGACAGTAATCCCAATTAAACATAGCATGCTATCATCATAGCCAGCGCAAAGTGCAAACTGCAAATGCAATATTGATATTGCATTTGTACAGAAGAGAACAAGATTAGAAGTTCCTACCCACCCACAGCCCCTTCTCCCCCTCACTGTTTAGCAGAGCTTTTTGCCACAGCATTGATGGATGCAGGAGAGGAACATTGAGGAATCAATGTGCAAAATTTCTGTACTCAATGTAAACCTGTCTTAGTAGTTAGCAAATAACAATAACATACTGTGACAAGAAGTTATAAGAAAATCTTTGTTGATGGTTTTGAACAACATAGAAAATGCCAACTTTTATCCATAAAAGTGGGGCTTTACCCTTGTTTGTGGGGGCGGAGTTTATTTTATAAATACCCATAAGATGATGGGTATATACTTAATTGTGCATGTAACTATAAAAGTTCCTGGTAAAATATCTTAATATATAACTAGTTGTTTGCTATTCTATTGTTAATATTTTGTTTAATGTATTTAGTTAATTATATTATACCAACTTTAGATTTTAATCGCAATGTCATGCTAATCAATATATTTAATGGTTTTGTAATTCTAACATGAAAAATTCCATGAAGAAATCAAATTAACATAGAGAAAAGGTAAGAGAATACACAATGTACATAGTTTTGATTTGGAAAGAGTTTGTTTAAACTTTATAGATAGAATTTCAGTGTGCAGCTAATGTCTAGTATTGGATTGGATGAATTGTTACTTCTGCATATTTGGGCAATGGGTTGATACCTTATCCTTGCCTCTTACAGTCATACAAATTAACGTTAAAATGCTAAAGAACTCCAATGGAGCAGTGTTGAAATGTACCCACCCTCCATTGTTATTTGACTGTCATGAGTATTTAAGGTATTAAAGGTTACTGTCTATCAGGATTTTGATTATGCCGTCATTTGTTTGATCTAGTAAACAGGTTCTTCTTTCTAGTCTCAAGTTGATTATTTTAGAACTCAATTGCTATTTCAATAATACTGTTTTCTATATTACGCCCAAACGTAACTTTGTTTTGATCATGTAGTTGCTATCATTTCCATTGTTGTGATGCCAGTGATGTTTTTCAGCCTTAGGACATATAATGCCCTCGTGGAAAGATGCTTCGGCGACTGTGTAAATACCTTCTATCGTAAGTCCCTTGGTAAGCAAGAAGAAAACTGTGTCAGGAGATGCGCAGAGAAATTCTTGCAGCACTCAGTGCGAGCAGCAACAAAGTTTGCGGAACTCAACCAGGGCGCCTCAACACAGTAATTACCATTCATTTTCAATTAGGTAAGTGGACTAACTCTGAACTGAGGCTCAATATTTTTCTCGTTTGAGGAGAATAGACTAACACTAATATATTCATTTTTTTTTTTTTACTGGGCACGACATACGCACATGCACACCTCCCCTTAGTTTTAAGACCCGTGAATCTATGTAGGTAAAGGAAAAATTGAAATAGCCGTTTAAATGGATATTCAAAATGATAGTATTTAAATGTGGTTTTGCCGGCCTCATTCTACTTTGAAGTTTAAAATGGTGTACTCGTATTTGATTAGTGATAGGAGATATGGTTTAGGGAGTCTCTTAAGTTGTCAATGATATACATAAGGGTGTGTTTGTTTGGGGGTTTGGATTTTGAGTTGGAATTTGAATAGTAAAAAATTTGAATTTGAATAGTTGTATGATGTGATATAAATAGGCGTTGATGTAATGTTTTGAATGTAAAATTAATTTTTAGTATAATATAAAAAATGAAAATAGGTGTTTGATTTGATGTTTTTGGGAAAAAAATGGGATGAATAGTGGAAATCTAATCCAATCTCCCAAACAAACACACCATTAGTGAATCCCAAAAATACATAGTACTCATTATGTCCGTCTCTAAGGGTTACATTTACTTTTTGTGTCATTGTACTTAACATTAAAAATATTCTTATATTTGTATAATTTTTTTGTACAAATATCATTCTATTAGTATTATAAGATACTAATTGAAGTTTTTTGGTGATTTTTCTTAATTTGTATTATGTTTTGATATAATAATTAATATTCAAATATCAACACGCAAAAAGTAAATGAAACCCTTATAGCTGGACGGAGGTAGTAGTATATATGAGTAGTGGTGTCAATTCATATTTTTGAGTCGTAATTGTTGTTGTGGGTATAATGAAGATCTGCAAATTTGAACAAGACATGAATTCTTTTAGGTTAGGTTCAGGTTAACTGTATTTTGTTTCAGGTCACTCGATAATCCAAATAAACTCATAATTCTACTTTTACCGGCTAACCCATTTAGTACTCTCATCTCGGTTAACCTGCCTCATAATCTCTCCAATTTTAAGGCCTAAAACCGAAGGAAATTCTAATTTGTGTTGAACTGAAGAAGGCAAGATTTAAGTAGTAACAATATATTTTACAGCAAACATTGCAAAAAAATGTGCAACTGAGAAAATAGTAACAACTTTTTTTATATTTCATTAATCCTTCTCTTCGTTTCTTTTCTAGTTTACCTTCCAATTTTTTAGCCAATTTTATGAATATATTTGTATGTTTTGGGGGCAATATTATTTATAGGGGAATGAAGTGTGAGATGTATTATTTTACACTTAATTGTAGATTTATTGTAACAATTTATTGTGACACTAGAATGAATATCAATAGAAGATGGTGGTTTTTAAATTTGTTTGGATTATTCTCATCGTCTGGTTGTTGAAATGCGATGATCCAAGTAAGTTATTATTGAAATATATTTATTATTATACATATTTATATATTTCAATTTCAATCAGTAATAGGGTATGGATTTAGGAGATTTGTATGTTGAAACAAGAGTTAATTTTTCAACCTCCAAATTATGGTCTTTCTAAATTTAATCAAACCATATTGTATTGCAGTCAAATCAAAATTATAATAATAGATGAAAACACCTAAATACAATTTAACACTTAGGCCAACCCCAACATATATATATATATATATATATTTTTCTAAATTTTAACTTCACTTCAACCAATTTTAGTTTTTTCTTTAAAAAGAATATTTCACACACACATATTTTATATTATATAAACACGAGTTTCTACGGATCTGCCACTTGAAAAGTCTATCCTGTCCCTCATTTAGAAAATGAAAATTTAGCCCTTAATCTACCTTTGTACTGGCTTGAAAACACGTTTTGGGATCGTTCTACGGATCTGCCACTTGAAAAGTCTATCATGTCCCTCATTTAGAAAATAAAAATTTAGCCCTTAATCTACCTTTGTACTGGCTTGAAAACACGTTTTGGGATCGTCGCCAGCAAACGCTGTCAACCGCCCAAGATGAAACGTTTTCAAACGTCGTGTGGTTGGTTACATCAGTCGCCTCGCCAAACCCCTTCACCAGTTCCAGAACTGAACTAGCCCATCAGACCTGTCTGTCCGACCTACCGACCATTAGACTTGTTTGTCCGATTGTTGACCATCAGACCTGTTTGTCGGACCGCTGATCATTCGACCGATGGCCGCCAAACTAGAGCAACCGATCTTGACCCTTCCGATCTGTCTGCCCGACCGAAAACCGACCGACCTTATCATTCGACCAGAGACCAACCGACGAGACCAACCCCCCGAGGACCTTCTCAACCCTAAACCCTAAATCAGTTCCAGAACTCAAATAGCCCAACCGACCAATCCAGAGAGGAATCGGTAGTCAAAGAGTCTTTCGCCGCACCCACCAAGCGACCTGTTTATCTGTCTCCCGACCAACTGACTTGTATATCCGACCGCAGACCAGCCGAGCTACTTTATCTGGCCGCAGACTATCACACCTGCTTGTCCGACCTGCTGACCATCAGACCTGTCTGCCCGACCACATACCATCCGAAGGAGGTCAAACTGACAAGACTAAACAACCGACCCTGACCCGTGAACCAAGAAGAAACCGACCGAGGACCTTCCGGCCTGCCTATCCGACTGCTAAACATCTCACCTGACAATCTGACCGAAAACAACCAACCAGAGCAACCGACTAGACCAAACAACCTAAGGGCAAACACCATATTGTACGGAACTGCCACTTGAAAAGTCTATCCTGTCCCTCATTTCCAAAATAACAATTTACCGTCCGTTTTTACTATCTTCAAAAGACGAGCTTGTACGGATGTGTCACTTGAAAAGTCTGTCCTGCCCCTTATTTCGAAAATAACAATTTACCCCTTCAACCTAGCTCTGTACTGATTTGCTTATCGACAACCCCTTCACAACTGTCTTTTCATACAGCCACTTGCTCTGCTTTTCCGCTTACCTCCTGAAATCGCAAGTCAGGCCGCCGTTCTTGGCGTCCAGCCACGCCGTTCTGTATCATCATCTTCATCACAATGTACTTTTCCTAAACAGTTGGGCTTTCCCCTGTGTGATCTTCGTTGTTGTGAACCGGAAGCGCGATTTTGATTCGGCCATCGAAAGTACAGATCTCTGCCTCGACCAGTTTTAGTTTAAGTTTTGTCTCGTTTTTGCTTCCGTAGAATTTAGTTATTGCTATTGTTGGCGTCTTTTAAAAGAAGGGCTATTTTTATTCTATTTTGTCATGGTGTTGATTCTTACCCACTGAATTTTGGAAGAAAAAGAGCCACAACTTATTGCATTATCTTTCGGGCAGCTGAAATACGAGGCTTACGGTAGAATTGGTTCTATTTTTTCAGGACCATGTTGTCATATTTCAATATTTCAGGACCATGCAAATGGCCCTAAGAATTGCTCTCTGACCTTATAAATTGCATTCTACGTAAACTATTTGACTTAGAGTAGCATATTTACTTTTACGACTTTTTCGGCAATAGCGTTGATAATTTGCTCTTTGTTATTTCTCATTTTCATATTGAGGGCTCTTGATTGTGGAAGAAATGGTCAAAACATAGAGTAATCTTGTGCAAAAAAAAAAGTATATTTTTTGTTTAAACATGCTTGTTTTTCCCCAGTTAAATTTTAAAGTGAAAAGTAATTATATTTAAATCTCATTGTTATTGAATTATTTGAGAAAGTTTTGTTTTTACCACGAACAAAATGGATTTAACATGTTTACTAATTTTCTATAGTTGACTTTAAAAGTAAAGCTAATGTATTAGTTGATTTGGGTATTAAAACTTGTATATTGTTATCAATTTATATTTACTTTGTGGGGCATAAGTAAGTTTCTTATTTACTTTTTTTTTTTCGTTGTGTCTTTTTCTTTTCTCAAATTCTTATTATTTATTTATTTTCTACCTATAACTACTTTTTACAGCCCATGACACAATCTCAGTCATTGCAATGTATTAGACGTCGGCAACAAACATGTGATCGCCGATCAGCTAACCAAACAAGTAATAGTCAGTCGGTTAACCAAACATGTATGCACTTTCTGTCTTTTACTTTCGTTTTTTAGTTTATTAAATTTTTAAATGTTGTTACTTTACTTAATTTATTATGTATCTTCGTATCTATTGAAACTTTACTCATCTTGCCAGCATGCTCTCCACTACTACGATTGTCTGCCATTTATGTGTCGCCTTGGGTAGCACCCCAACCGACAAAATGTCGTTACTGTGGTGCATTATTATTCCACCGTGAGGATAAAACCCTATGTTGTGCTGGTGGGAAGTTTTCCTTACCCCTATTGGACATGCCACCTCCCTTGCAAGACCTTTTCCTTAATCGCCATGAACTATCATCTCATTTTCGTACCTATGTTAGGACTTATAATAACTCTTTTGCTTTCTCTACGTTAGGAGTTCACTATGACGTATCTTTATGTAATAATGATCACAACTTATATATATTTCGTGTTAACAATACAATTCACCATTTCATTAACTCATTGCTCCCCTCAACAAATGTACGGAGAAACCTGCAACTTTATTACTATGATCCTACACAAGAGCTTGCCACACGTTTGAGTAATTACCCTACTTTACATCCATCTATTGTTACAATCTTGATTGAGTTGTCTCATCTGAACCCTTATGCAAGTTTATTCCGTCAATTGTATACAATGCCTTGTCTTGATAACTATAAAATATTTCTAAAAACCTCCAATCGATTAGATCGAAGAGTGTATAATCTTCCACGGGTTGATGATATATCAATTATATGGCAAGATGGGTCTTCAGATTGTCCCCAATTATCTAGAGACATACAAGTATATCCGGTTGATGGTTCTGTGAAAAAGGTTGATTATTATTCTTATGCCTATGATCCTGTTCAATATCCATTGATCCATCCTTTTGGCCAGCCAGGTTGGTATCAAGGTATTGTGAAAAATTCTGCTACATCTTCGTCTTCCTCTACATAGTCAACACCTAATTTATTAGCAGAGTCGTTTTATACTGAACAAGTTGACCTATCAATAAATAGCTCCTCAGATTACAATATGCAATTAGGGTGTAATAAACACCGGATGGACAAGAGTCATGTCTCTATTAGAGAATACTATGCATATCGTCTACAAATACGGCCTACAAGTCCTACTTTACTATTACATACTGGCCGTTTGTTACAACAATATATAACTGACCAGTCCATAAAAATAGAAACTCAAAGGCTAGATTTTTTCAGGTCTGAACAAGTGCAAAAACAACACCGTCACGACACCATGCAGGGTATTCTAGATGCTTTTAACCAATCCCAACATGAACCGTTATCTATGATTGGACAACCAGTTGTCCTTCCATCTTTTTTCATTGGTGGTCCCCGTGACATGCAACAAAGATATATGAATGCTATGGCTCTTGTACAAGAATTTGGTAAGCCTGATTTTTTCCTTACAATCACTTGTAATCCACAATGGCCAGAGATTCAAGAAGTCTTAGAACCATTTGAATTATCAACTGATAGACCTGACATTGTTGCTCGAGTGTTTAGAATGAAACTTGAAGAACTAAAAAACGAACTCTTCAAACAACACTTGCTAGGTAAAGTGCAGGCGTATTCATATGTCATTGAGTTTCAAAAAAGAGGATTGCCACATGCCCATATGTTACTTATCATGTTTCCACAATTTAAATTACACAACCCGACAAGTTACGACAAATTTATATCTGCAGAACTTCCTAATAGTAACTTAAACCCCTACTTATTGCAATTGGTCTTGAAACATATGATGCATGGTCCTTGTGGCTCTCAAAACCCAACTAATGTGTGCATGGTTGATGGACAATGTAAGAATCATTACCCAAAGGAATTTGTGGATGAAACAATTCATACTCCAAATGGATATCCTAAGTATAAAAGACAAAATAATGGCATTTTTGTTATTGTGCGTGGACGTACTTTGGACAACCGTTGGGTGGTACCATATAATCCATATTTACTTGCTAAGTTTGATTGTCATATAAACTTGGAAGTATGCTCGAGTGTCAAACTTGTAAAATATCTCTACAAAAATATGTGTATAAAGGTCATGATCGGGTTGCCTATACTGTGGGCTCAGTAACACCCGACACACCTCGTGATGAGATTATTGATTTCCAAACTGGCCGTTGGGTTGCTCCACCTGAAGCTTGTTGGCGTATTTTTGCATTCCCCTTGACAGATATGCACCCTCCTGTACTTGCTCTACAATTGCATTTACCTAATTTTCAGTACACTTCATTCAAAGTAACATACTCTTTACAAGATGTTGTAACAAATGCACGTGCCCACAAAACTATGCTTACTGAATTCTTTGTCATGAATGCAACCAACGCATATGCCAAGGCACTTAATCTACTTTACAAAGAGTTCTCAAAACATTTTGTATGGGATCGAGTACACAATAATTGGAATTTTCGCAAACAAGGTTCAATAGTAAGGAGGATTGTTACAGCAAGGCCAACTGACCAAGAAAGATATTTTCTTCGCCTTCTTTTGCAGTACCTTCGTGCTCCTGTATCATACGAGGACTTAAGAACAGTTGATGGTGTTATACATGATTCATTTAGAAATGCATGAAGTAAGGGCTAAACCAAGAGATCTACGAGGGTTCGGGGTAATGGGCACCCGACCACAAAAGACGTTCGGAAAATAGAGTCTCAGCCAAAGCTCCAAAAACCAAAAAGGACCAGACGCAGCTGTGTCCGCCCTCTTCGTATCTACTAGACGGTCGCTAACTCTGGATAACCCCTCATACAAATTGGCCAAAAAGAGGGTCCCTAAAGAAAAGAAGTGACCAGTGGCTAAGTGGATGGCTAAGTCAAGTTGCGAGGTCAAGATTGATTTGGAGGGAGAAAGAATTACATATCTGAAGAAAGGAGCAGAAAAGAAGGTTCAATATAAAAACAAATATATAAAAAAATGAATTACATAGAGGAAATTCTATACCTGCATAGCCAGAACAGCAGAAAAGCGGTGTGCTCCAAAGCAGTTACTGGATAACCCTCTGTACCCCGAAAGCGGAGGACAAAGTTGGTCCAGCCGCGTTCCCTCTCAGGTATGCGCGCAAGCGACCAACCTTCATGGTCGGGCGCTGGTTCTTGCCCATCCAACGACCCAAGGACAGGGTCGTCACCAACCACGGGGAGGTGGGCAATCATAGCCACATCAATCAGGGTTGGGCCCATGGGGCCAGTTGGGAGAAGGAAAACACCCAGTTGGGCATTCCAAAAGGCAGCCATAGCAAAGAGAACTTTGTCGTGAAGATACAACGGTTGAGTCGCTAGAAAAATGGCCTTATCAATCCCTTGCCGTTGCCATTATTCATGAAAAATAGGATATAGCCTCGAATACCACGAACGAAAGGCATCTTTGGGATCGGTAAGATGTGTTTTAATATGATCATTAATGCGTTCGGGTTTGAAATCAGGACTATTAATAGCTAAGGGAGTTACAGAACAGATAATACTCTTCATACGAACAACATCCTCAGAAGATGTACAATAAGGACGAACAGTGGGAGTAAGAACAGCAGAAGAAACAAAAGGGATTTCTGGATATGAACCATCAAAAGGTAGAGCTGGGACGTACTGGTTAGCCATGGTTGAAAGCAGCAAAGCGTGAAAACATGAAGACAAAGTATTGGATCGCAAAAGCAGAAAAGCAATTACAATGCATAAGGAAAAAGATGAAGACGAAGGGGATTTAAGTAAGGTTTTCCTGCAAAAGCCCCTAATTAAACACCGTAATGATCATCTGACTCCCTCAACAAATCACATCTCACACTGATCGAGAAATTACGGCAGGGAGTTACGGCAGGGAGTCCGGCGGGAAAAGCCAAATTGTTAAATAATTTAGGGTTTATATTATTTTGTAAAAAATAATTTTTTAACAAAATAGAAAAAAATTATCGAAAGAAAAATATATATATTTTTTAAATTCGTTGGTTCCACAAATATAAAAAATATAAATTTATATAATTTATTATATTTTTTTCTCTCATCATTCTATCCCAAACGACTACCTACCGGACGTTTCTTCTTCTTTTCATACGACTAATTAAGTATATATATGATCTTGTACACAATTTTTTAATAAAATAGAAAAAAAGTATTATCTAAAGAAAATATATATTGTTGAAAATTCGTTCGTTACACAGATATAAAAAATATATATTTATATAATTAATTTCTCATCTTTCTAAACCAAATGAATCATTGGTCGCCCAATCAAGCAACCACCATCTGCTCTCTTCAATAAGCTAAACAACCATTCGTCCAGATGATTCATTGGTCGCATTAACAAGCGACCACCATACGTCGCCTTGAAATGGCCGAACAACAATTCCTCCAGAGGATATATTGGTCGCTACAATCAAGCGACTGAACTACTGTTCACAAATATGGGCGACCAATTAACAGACCATTCTTCGGACAACCTCCGTATGGGCCGTTTTATCCTTCTGTCGGTCTTTTTCTCTAATCCGACCACGTACCGTTCGTCCCATTCTTCTTCGCAGGAACTGACTTACTCCCAAGTCGGCATTAACCGACCACCATATCAAACGATCTCCGTGTGGTCCGACTCAACCGACCGCACGCTTTGCTCAACCGACAGTCGACCATCTGACCTATTTAAACGACTGAGAAGCAACCGACCCCCGATGAGCCAACTGAGAACCAACCAACCGTGGATCAACCGACGACGAAACAGAATCCTCTGCTCGCATTATCTCCTTAGATGGACGACTGGTCCAACCGACCTCCTTTTGACTCTACTACCATACCGTCTTACCTTTGCCCGTCCGTGGGCCAACCAACCAACTTACTTTCGTCGAACTACAGACCAACGGACCAACTTCCTTTTGTCAGACTCCAAACCAACTGATTTGCCTATCCGACTGCGTACCATTCCATCTCCATCTTCGCCAGACTTCCTCTTTCAACCGACCTCTGAGCCGTTTAGCTTATATTCAGACCCATCCACAACCGTACTACGGTTATTAATTATTATTATTATTATTTTTTCTGCCCAACAAGAATAATAATAATAATAATAATGGTAGAAATAGAAAAAAAGTAATGCATTTATGATAATGAATACCCAAAAAAACAGACTCTCATACGACCAACCATTTAAATAAACACACAATTTACAAAAATACTAACTGCAATCACATCCTTTACCTTGAATTCAGCTACAAAGTTAATCTACATACGTAACTATATCTACTAGAGCCAATCTACCTGACCAAAATAAACACATAGAACCTGCCACTCACTAACTTCTATCACTTCTTACATGAAAAAACGTATCACTCACTAACTTCTATCACTTCTTACATAAAAAAACGTGTCACTCACTAACTTCTATCACTTCTTACATAAAAGTTACCACTCTAACACAGCAACCACTCTAACGAAGCAACACGCCAACAACATCAATTTAATTATAAAGACAAGATTGACTTTCAATACGTGCTACATTCTTCCTTAGCTTTTCTTTTTCACACATTTCATCACTCTTCCATCAATTCTCCTTACTGCTAATCACTACAAGCCAATGGCCAACCACATAACACCCATAACTGATTTAACCATGGAAAATAGAAACTGGACAGTCCGTGCGTTACTCGTAGAGATGTCCGCTATCAGAACAGCCAGGACCAGTGGAAAGCCCTACAGACGATACGTCTTTATTGACACACAGGTATTCAAACAATCCTACTTATAAAAATAATTGATTGAATTTATGTACTACTATCTAAATTTTACATTTAATATACTTTATTTAATATGGAATAAAATTTAAAATTAATCATATTTACTATGCATATAATTTACTATTAGTTATTTTATAGTAGAAGAAAATTGATACATCAATTTTGTACATTACTAATTAGTTTTTTCGGGGTTAACTATCTTATTTACTTATTTTGTAGGGCACCAAACTCATGACGTGTGCCTTTTCTGCGGATATGGAAGCATATGATCATTGTTTAAAACTCTTTAAGACCTACGAGATTTTTGCTAAACAAGGCAAAGAGTACAAGACGGATCTACCAAACTTCAACTCTGAAATCCAGCTCTATCTCAACAAACACTGCAGCATCGTCCCTGTTGAAACTGATCCTATATCTTCTCTAACTGGAAAGACATCTTTCAAAAGCTCTCATGCATTGTTGATTGCCTAGCAACAAATGAGTACATCATATGCTTCCATGTCCGCAAAAAAGGCACACGTCATGAGTTTGGTGCCCTACAAAATAAGTAAATAAGATAGTTAACCCCGAAAAAACTAATTAGTAATGTATAAAATTGATGTATCAATTTTCTTCTACTATAAAATAACTAATAGTAAATTATAAGCATAGTAAATATGATTAATTTTAAATTTTATTCTATATTAAATAAAGTATATTAAATGTAAAATTTAGATAGTAGTACATAAATTCAATCAATTATTTTTATAAGCAGGATTATTTGAATACCTGTGTGTCAACAAAGACGTATCGTCTGTAGGGCTTTCCACTGGTCTTGGCTATTCTGATAGCGGACATCTCTACGAGTAACGCACGGACTGTCCAGTTTCTATTTTCCATGGTTAAATCAGTTATGGGTGTTATGTGGTTGGCCATTGGCTTGTAGTGATTAGCAGTAAGGAGAATTGATGGAAGAGTGATGAAATGTGTGAAAAAGAAAAGCTAAGGAAGAATGTAGCACGTATTGAAAGTCAATCTTGTCTTTATAATTAAATGGATGTTGTTGGCGTGTTGCTTTGTTAGAGTGGTTGCTGTGTTAGAGTGGTAACTTTTATGTAAGAAGTGATAGAAGTTAGTGAGTGACACGTTTTTTTATGTAAGAAGTGATAGAAGTTAGTGAGTGATACGTTTTTTCATGTAAGAAGTGATAGAAGTTAGTGAGTGGCAGGCTCTATGTGTTTATTTTTGTCAGGTAGATTGGCTCTGGTAGATATAGTTACGTATGTAGATTAACTTTGTAGCTGAATTCAAGGTAAGGGATGTGATTGCAGTTAGTATTTTTGTAAATTGTGTGTTTATTTAAATGGTTGGTCGTATGAGAGTCTGTTTTTTTGGGTATTCATTATCATAAATGCATTACTTTTTTTCTATTTGAACCATTATTATTATTATTATTATTCTTGTTGGCCGGAAAAAATAATAATTAATAACCGTAGTACGGTTGTGAATGGGTTTGAATATAAGCTAAACGGCTCAGAGGTCGGTTGAAAAAGGAAGTCTGGCGAAGATGGAGATGGAATGTTACGCAGTCGGATAGGCAAGTCAGTTGGTATGGAGTCTGACAAAAGGAAGTTGGTCCGTTGGTCTGTAGTTCGACGAAAGTAAGTTGGTTGGTTGGCCCACGGACGGGCAAAGGTAAGACGGTATGGTAGTAGAGTCAAAAGGAGGTCGGTTGGACCAGTCGTCCATCTAAGGAGATAATGCGAGCAGAGGATTCTGTTTCGTCGTCGGTTGATCCACGGTTGGTTGGTTCTCAGTTGGCTCATCGGGGGTCGGTTGCTTCTCAGTCGTTTAAATAGGTCAGATGGTCGACTGTCGGTTGAGCAAAGCGTGCGGTCGGTTGAGTCGGACCACACGGAGATCGTTTGATATGGTGGTCGGTTAATGCCGACTTGGGAGTAAGTCAGTTCCTGCGAAGAAGAATGGGACGAACGGTACGTGGTCGGATTAGAGAAAAAGACCGACAGAAGGATAAAACGGCCCATACGGAGGTTGTCCGAAGAATGGTCTGTTAATTGGTCGCCCATATTTGTGAACAGTAGTTCAGTCGCTTGATTGTAGCGACCAATATATCCTCTGGAGGAATTGTTGTTCGGCCGTTTCAAGGCGACGTATGGTGGTTGCTTGTTAATGCGACCAATGAATCATCTGGACGAATGGTTGTTTAGCTGATTGAAGAGAGCAGATGGTGGTTGCTTGATTGGGCGACCAATGATTTGTTTGGTTTAGAAAGATGAGAAATTAATTATATAAATATATATTTTTTATATCTGTGTAACGAACGAATTTTCAACAATATATATTTTCTTTAGATAATACTCTTTTTCTATTTTATTAAAAAATGATTGTGTACAAGATCATATATATACTTAATTACTCGGATGAAAAGAAGAAGAAACGTCCAGTAGGTAGTCGTTTGGGATAGAATGATGAGAGAAAAAAATATAATAAATTATATGAATTTATATTTTTTATATTTGTGGAACCAACGAATTTAAAAAATATATATATTTTTCTTTCGATAATTTTTTTCTATTTTGTTAAAAAATTAATTTTTACAGAATGATATAAACCCTAAATTATTTAACAATTTGGCTTTTCCCGCCGGACTCCCTGCCGTAATTTCTCGATCAGTGTTGAGGGAGTCAGATGATCATTACGGTTTTTAATTAGGGGTTTTTGCAGAAAAACCTTACTTAAATCCCCTTCGTCTTCATCTTCTTCCTTATGCATTGTAATCGGTTTTCTGCTTTTGCGACCAAATACTTTGTCTTCGTGTTTTCACGCTTTGCTGCTTTCAACCATGGATAACCAGTACGTCCCAGCTCTACCTTTTGATGGTTCATATCCAGAAACCCCTTTTGTTTCTTCTGCTGTTCTTACTCCCACTGTTCGTCCTTATTGTACATCTTCTGAGGATGCTGTTCGTATGAAGAGTATTATCTGTTCTGTAACTCCCTTAGCTATTAATAGTCCCGATTTCAAACCCAAACGCATTAATGATCATATTAAAACACATCTTACCGATCCCAAAGATGCCTTCCGTTCGTGGTATTCGAGGCTATATCCTGTTTTTCATGAACAATGGCAACGGCAAGGGATTGATAAGGCCATTTTCCTAGCGACTCAACCGTTGTATCTTCACGACAAAGTTCTTTTTGCTATGACTGCCTTTTGGAATGCCCAACTGGGTGTTTTTCTTCTCCCAACTGGCCCCATGGGTCCAACCCTGATGGATGTGGCTATGATTGCCCACCTCCCCGTGGTTGGTGACGACCCTGTCCTTGGGTCGTTGGATGGGCAAGAACCAGCGCCCGACCATGAAGGTTGGTCGCTTGCGCGCATACCTGAGAGGGAACGCGGCTGGACCAACTTTGTCCTCCGCTTTCGGGGTACAGAGGGTTCTCCAGTAACTGCTTTGGAGCACACCGCTTTTCTGCTGTTCTGGCTATGCAGGTATAGAATTTCCTCTATGTAATTCATTTTTTTATATATTTGTTTTTATGTTGAACCTTCTTTTCTGCTCCTTTCTTCAGATATGTAATTCTTTCTCCCTCCAAATCAATCTTGACCTCGCAACTTGACTTAGCCATCCACTTAGCCACTGGTCGCTTCTTTTCTTTAGGGACCCTCTTTTTGGCCAATTTGTATGAGGAGTTATCCAGAGTTAGCGACCGTCTAGTAGATACGAAGAGGGCGGACACAGCTGCGTCTGGTCCTTTTTGGTTTTTGGAGCTTTGGCTGAGACTCTATTTTCCGAACGCCTTTTGTGGTCGGGTGCCCATTACCCCGAACCCTCGTAGATCTCTTGGTTTAGCCCTTGCTCAGCTAACTCCAAACTCTTCCACTCTTTCTCCTTCTGACTGTGTAATTGCGGCTATTCTTACGGACGACCGTACAAACTCCAAATTTTTTGTCTATGAGCTTTACGTTCAGTATCTTACTGAACTTTTTTGGCCTTACTCGGAAACCAATTACCCCTTGTCGTATCCAGACCCTTTGCCTCACCCGACTTATCGTCATTATTGGGACTCAGCTCTGAAGCCACGGTCTCTTTTTTCTAGTCCCAAGTTTGATAAGAGAAACCGTAAGTCTTTTCATACTTTTAACTATCAGCCGCAATTTTTGTCTCGACAGTTCGACTGCTGTCAAGGTTTACCGGGCCCACTCGCCCGTCCACACCTAATAACTCAGAGCCCGGACGGGCGAGTTACCCCTTCTTTGATTTCACCTTATCTCTCCCAGCTCATTTCTTACATATCTTCCAACTCCTACCTTCCTTTCCGTCGTGACCCGAAGAAGGTGGAAACCTTTCCGTCTTGGTGGTCGGATACCTGGGCGGTGGTGGCGCCTCCAAGTGACCGATTGCTGGCGATATTAACCCTTCCTCCAGCACTTGCTTTGGGGTCGCGAACTCCTGCCACGGTGATGAGGAGCAAACGGGCGGCTCCTGCAGAAGGCCCCAGCGCTCCAAGGAGGAAAAGAGCCACCCGACCGAAGGCCACCACACGCCCGGTATATGATCGGCAGGCGGTAGAGGATTATTTGGTGTCCCTACCTGTGGACCCAATCTGGATGCCTGCCAATGTACGGCGATACATGGGTAAGTATAAATGGTAACTTTAATTGTGTTTTTCCTTCAATTTATTTTTGAAAAGGTTTTTTCTCAGAGTCGCTTGCTGAGAAACCAGCCGACCAGACTGGCGAACATGGAAGAGATAGGTCGGTTGATCCAGCATGCGCCAACGTAACCGATCAGCCAACCACCCGACCAACTATGTTGGCATCTGCCCTACCAGCTTCTTTGGGAAGCGACTCAGTATCCGTCCCCGAGGTAATCCCCCCAAAGTCTTTCATTTTTCGTAATTATGGTTTGTAACTTTACCTCTTTACGTGCGCACAGGCAACTTCTTTTCCGACTGCAGCCCGGAGTGGTATACCGAATGAGCTGCCCGTGATGCGTCTTGACAAGGACCCGACGTTGAGGCAGATGTCTTCATCCACCTTCTCCCACTCCGAACGGGAAATGCCCGTCGGCCAAAGTTCCGTCAACCCATCGGCGGGACCCTCAGTGATTCGTCGGGAAGAGGACCCGACCGTCATGGTGATTGGCTCATCCATATCTACCCTTCCTCAGCCGCGTGTGCTCCCGGTGAGCATTTAGCATGTTGTGAGATTATCTTTCGTATCTAGAGCCTAACTTATATTCCTTATCTCAGGGACTTGCGGCAGCCGATTCGGTTGTCGAACCACCGATCACTGAACAACAACGGCCGGTGATTCCTGAGTTGGTTGAACCGAACGCAGAACCAGGACCGGCGATTCTTGCATCAGTCCAAGCAGACCCTGAACCAGTCCAAGCAGACCCTGAACCAGTCCAAGCAGACCCTGTACCAGTCCAACACTTTGAAGCAGTCGACGTCTCTTCTTCAGAGTCGGGCGACCCTTCTGTTAATCAGAGCAGCGAAGCCGTGGTTAGTATTTTTCATTGTCTTCATCTCCGTATGCTAATCGCAATTGTCTTTGAGTTGACGTTTTACATTTTTAGGGTTCTGAGCCGGGCTTCATAGGTCCTCTGCCCGCAGCCGCCGAATCGGTTGGTCATATGAGGAACCTTTCTGGCCCTGCCCCACTAACTCCGGTTTTGCTAACTCCTTCTGAAGCTACGGCTGTTCTCCACCAGGTAACGTCCATATAACTCCATTACCTAAATTTAACTTATGAATCTTTAATCATTGTGAGGTAGTTGAACAGGCAACCCGTGAGCTTACTTTCCTGAGCAAAGTGCCATTAGTGGAATCTGCCCGACCAGTAGTACTGCGCTGCGTGGATGTTTCGTTGGCTGATCTGAGCTCTGAAGATGTAAACTCTCTACGTCAGGTGGTTGTTGATTTATTGGTGCAGACTCCGAGTGAGTTTGTCGTGGCACCAATTCTGAGTCGGATGATGGAATGAATCATTGAACTTCAAATCGACTTGCCTTTCATTCGACCTCCATCATCCGACTCTGCATCTTCTCAGGCCATTCCTGACACTGCGATCATTGAGGCGTCTCAGGAACTGGAGAAACTTCAGAAACAGCTGGAGTCATTAGAAGGCTGCATTCAGGAAGATAGTCGCCTGGTGGAGGAGCAGCGCCAGAGTTGCGCCAGCCTGCATGACCAACTCCAAGCCAGTACTCGGTCAAGGATGATCCAGGAGCACGAAAGTGCCGTCCATCAAAGAAGAATGGCGCGCACTCAACAGAAATGGGCCGACCTAGTAACCGCCTTCAAAGCGCTTCTTATGTAATGTGTGTTGTCGGATTTTTATTTACTTTTATTTTTAACTAAACTTGCAAAAATACTCCTAACTATCTGTCATTTTTTCAATAAAATGTTTATTTCTCTTAAATTCCCGAACACAAATGGACTATTTTTAGCTGAAGAGGAAGTATTAATTAAAGATGTAATATAAGGCCAACTCTACAGTTCCAAATTAATGCATGCTGAATTTCTACTCTTTCTTTTTATTTTTAAAAATATATATATATATTTAATCAATTGTTATTTTATTCATCCAAATTCCAAGGGATATGTCACCTAATAACTCATTAAACTCCATTGGGACAAAATTTAATCATCTTCTATTTTATTTATTTTTTAAAGAAAAATAAAAGTAAATCAATTAAAAGTTTCTTTCTCCCCTTTAAACAAACATCATGGCTATGTAAAATAAAATACTAATATTATTAATTAATCCCATCAATCAACAATCACCAAATTAACATTCTTCAACTATAGTTAATTATGTACTTCTAGAATATATTAATTAGGGCATAACTTAGGCATGCATTGGGCCCACATATTCAAATATATTAAATTAAAGTACCATACAATTAATAAATATATATAAATATGTATATTATGAACAGTGATTGTAAACTTGTGACCGTAAAGTAATAAGTTCAAATGTCGATACTTTCAGACTGCGAATTCCTACATTATATATATATTAATATGAGGGGAAACATTAAGGAAAGATAAATATAATATTCGTTTAAATAAGTATTCTAGTTTTTATGTTAGGTGATTTAGTAATAGGCAATAAATACGGATCTATGTTTGCTGGATTAGACTCAGTAAACAATGCAGGAAAGATAGGATCTGTTTTGTAGAAATAGGAACAATATATTTGCATTACAAGGAGAGAAGCGCCCGTAAAGCAGTTTTTAGATCGGCCCATTTGAGTTCTGACTTGATGGCCCGACGACGTTGGTATGCTTCTTGGTGTCTCTGGACGAGTCTCGTTTGAATCGCTGCCTGAAGTTGGTCGCAAAGACTGGCTTGGTTAAGGCAATGTGTTTCAACCAGACGACTTCCCTCTTGTATGCTATCATCTATAGCTTCCAATCGTTCTTGAAGTCGTCGTAGTTCTTCAGTCTTTTGAGCGATTTCAGTAGCTAATGTTTGTCTCTCCTGCCGGAGCTCGTCTAGTCGGGCCCTAGCCACGCTAAGATCTTGGTTAGCCTTCTTCAAATCTGCTTCGATATGATTAGGATCTGCTGCCGGACGAGAGGAGGTCGCTTCGGATAATGGGGGTCGGATCAGAGGTAGTTCAGCTTGAAGTTCAGTGATCCTGGCCATCATCCGATCGAGAACTGGTGAAGCTCCCGACTCCAGGACAGGTTGAACCAATAGGGATATTGCGACTTGGACTAACGCCGAAAGGTCAGCCAGTTCTAAGTCGGCAAAATCCAAATTGGCGCATCGTTCGACAATGGTTCTGACGGGTGTCGGGAGATTTATTCGGGTCAAAATGTTCATCTCCTGAGCAGCCTGAACCAGAATGAGATTAGCAAGCTAAAAGACATGGCAAAATTGTTTAAGGAATAACGGCGGAAGGTTACTTGATCCAGGGCAGCTGTAGCCTCGGAAGGGGCCATAAGTTGGAAATTTGAGGGGTTGACTGGTCGGGTAATCGGACCAGCAACTGATTCATCCCCTGGTGGAAGTTGTTGGGCGGCTGCTAAATCCATACCCTGAACAGAAGATAAAAGTTTTCGTCACCGTTGGATGGGCAAAAATAAAATCCGAAAATGGATGAGAAAGGGTACCAACCGGATCCAGCGGGGCAAAATTAACAGAAGCTTCACCCGATCTTGAGGAGAGGAAATTTCCTCTACTTCATCGTGTGGTTGGACTGGTTCGGGTTGGACTGGTTCGGGACCAACAATAGGAACCTCATCAACTTGCTGAACAAGCGGGTCGGGTAAAGCCACGACCTGGTCGGGGTCGGCCACTACCACATCTTCAATAGGAGCCTGGACCAAATATGTTTTAGGTATCATAAGTTTTATCAGGAGGATGTTGTTGAAGGAAGGTTTAGCGCTTACTTGTTGAGGTTCCGCAACTTGGTCGGGGAGGACAACAAGTTGGTCGGGCATCACCGCAACGATATCCGACGTTGGGGGAGGAGGTACCCTGCCCATCGATTCGCCTGGTCGGTGTGCCTACAATAAAAGGTTCGAAGTTGTTGTTTAAAATTAATATATTTTGTTGGTCTCTAAGGAATGTCAGAAACTATCTTTTACCTCTGATTGTCTGTGGGTCGGTTGTGTGGTAATCGGGACTATGGCTAGTCGATCGGTGGTCCGGACCATAGATGATTGTTCTATGATCGGGACGGCTGTCGATCGGGATGAAGATAAATTGATGGGAACTTGTGGTTCGGGCGATTGTTGGTGGGTCGGTTGAGACGTGGTAGGGCCAGTGGTCGGGAGCATTGAAGGATCTTCTGAAATAGACATATTAGAGTTACAAACGGGCAGCATGAAAATAACATAAGGAAAGGAACAAAAACTTACCAAATTGTTGCCTTAGATACTTTGGCATCCCGCTAGTATCTATTGGCAGAGAAGCCAGATATTCCTCGATGGCCTGCCTATCGATAGCAGGAGTGGCATTTGCTTTTTGTCTTTTTGCTCCCGACCCACCTGCCGTAGGGGTTGGCCTTTTCCTTCCTCTGACTGCCAGTCGGGCGGAGCCAAGAGCCAGAGCTGGGGGTGGAGCAAGTCTCCCGACCAATTGGTCAGTCGAAGGGGCAAGTAAAGACCAGGTGGTCGACCACCAGGAAGGGAAGTCTTCGGTTGTCGAAGGTTTTGGGCAGAACGGGAGATATGAATTCGAGGTGATGTAGGTGGTGAGTTGAGAAATATAGGTCGGGATGAGTTCGGGAATCACCAGACCCTCGGGGCTTTGAAATATGAGGTGAGGACTGGCTAATGGCCCTGGTATGCTCTGGCAGCAACCAAATTGCCTCGACAAAAATTGAGGTTGGTAATTGTAAGTGAAAAATGTTCTACGATTCTTCTTATCCGACTTTCTGCTAGAAAACAAAGATCGGGGTTTTATTGCGGCGTCCCAGGAAAAAATAAAAGTCGGGTGAGGGAGAGGATCTGGGCGAGTTAAAGGATAGCTAGGGTCGGGATAAAGGAAGAAAAGATCGGTCGAATATTGCATTAAGGTTGTATATACAAAAAAACGGGAATTGTTCCGATCTTCGGTCAAAATTTGGGTTATTATAGAGTCGGAGGATTTTAGACAGGAAGAGTTCGGGGTTAATCTGGCTAAGGCATAGCCAATAGACCTATAAGGGTTAGGAGAAATTGGGAGGCGACCAAAAAATGCAGAGGGGAAGTATAGACGGAACCACAGTTCCAGGAACCAAAATGGTCCTGAGGCTGCAGTATCCGCCTTTTTGATATCTGTAAGACGGGAACTTAATCGGATAAACCTTCAAAGAGGTTGGCTAGAAATAAGGTACCTAAAGAACAGAAATGACCACATGCTAGATAAATGGCTAGGTCAATATGAGTTGAAAGGACAAGTTTAGAAGGGGAGAGAATGATATATCTGTGAAAGATAAGAAGAAAGAAATGTAAGCTCAACATTCAAACTTTGTGTATATCAAGGAGGTTTAAAAATGGGGAAGAAAATATACCTGCAGAGCCAGAAGAGGAGGAAAGCAGTATGTTCCAACTCGGAAACAGGGGTATCCTCCTTACCCTGATATTTATTGACAAAGTATGTCCACCCTCTTTCTCTTTCAGGCAGTTTGGCCAGAGCCCAACCTTGATGGTTGGGGGGAAGTTCTTGATTCCCGAGAGAAACCAGAACGGGGTCCTCTCCAGTGATCGGAAAATGCGCGATCACTGCTACATCCATTAGGGTTGGACCCATTGGACCTGAAGGGAGGAAAAAGGCACCTGTTTGCGAATGCCAAAAAGCCGCCATGGCCATCAAAACCTTGTCATGGAGGTAGAGGGGTTGCGTCGAAAGGAGAATAGCTTTATCGATCCCTTGGGCTTTCCATTGATTTTCAAAATGTGGAAGGAGCCTCGCATACCATTTCCGGTAAGCATCTTTTGGGTCGGTCAAGTGAGTCTTGATGCTATCTAGAAGGCGTTCCGGTTTGAACGCTTCATTGTTCACGGTAATGGGAGAAACTTGAACAATGACTGAAGTCATACGCTCAGCATCGGGAGTGGTAGTGCAGTAAGGGCGGATTGTAGGGGTAAGAACTTTGGAAGATACAAGGGGTATTGAGGGTTCGGTTCCGTCAAAAGGGAGTGCAGGAACGTATTGGTTAGCCATTTACGCGAGGGTAAGGAAAGGTTGAAGGAGAAAACGAAGGAGGGAGTTATACGAGAGCAGAAAGGGTTTCAGAATTGTGAATGTGTAAGTTTGAGAAGTTGAAGTGGGGTTTAACATAAACCCTTTGATTTGACGCAGCGCAGTGCAATGATCATATTGTAACCCTAAAACGTCACGTCTTCCGTAGTTCGAGGAGTGACGTTTCGGCGGGAGGAGGCAAGTTGTTGAGCACAAAATAATGGATAGGTTTTAGGAAATGGGCCTGCCAAGATTAGGTCATCCGAAATGTCCAATGGGCTTTTGAAAGTCCGAATATAATTTGCAGTAACCAGGTTGGATGAGTTTTGAATTTGTCCAAAACCGGTCGTGTGAATCCCCTAGGTCCGACGAATGAGGAGATTGGACTCGCTCGGGACCAAATAGTTCGCACGTCTAAATCGGACGTAATCAGGTCGGAATCCGAGGGTCAGATTGAAGAAAGTAGGACGGTTGATAAGATTGGACCTGGTCAGGACCAAATAGATTGGATATAGAAGTCGGACTTAGTCGGGACAAATTCCAAAGGGTCGGTCATAGGAAGGTTAGGTATTCAAAAATAGTTATCCTATAGGTCGGGTAAAATGCAATTTCTGGCAGTGGGGGGTAGTTTCGACTGGTGAGCGGTTTTTAAAATCGGACGTGACGTGATGGTTCTCGTATGTGTCGATAGAAGAGGATTTTTTGGGGAGTTAATAGCGGTTATGGTAACCGACCGGATAGCGGTTCGAACCGTATCTTCAAGGGGTTATTTAAATATTCTGTACGGTAAGGAGAGGGCATCTTCAACGACATCAAATTCAAGAGAATTGCTTTTGGGGATCACCACTTTATTTTCCAGTCTATAGTTTTAATTTTTCTTATTTTATTTATGTATCCTACAGTGTTTAGAGATTCCTAATCTCAGGCAGTAATTATATCAAATTCGAAGATAACTTCCTATTTTCGGATTTTATTTTTTATTGTTAAAAAAAAAACGCATCAACAGGTATATTAAATAATATAACCGTTGATGCAGTTTTTCAACAACAAAAAGTAAAATTGGAAAATAGAGAAATATCTCCCTGAGATTAGGGCTTTCTAAGTAATGTAGAATACTAAAATTGTTACATATGAAATTTTTATTTATGTTAAAAAGCTTAGGATAAAAAGAAAAATGTGTGTAGGAATACACTTGATGAAACTGGCGGAGGGGCCCTGTTGGAAACTCAGGAATAGTAGATATATTTCTAATGGAATTGCGGGTCGGACAGGTCCTCAGGTCGAGAGGTTCACAAGGCGGAAGGTCCTCACGTCGGGAGGTCCGGAAGTTGGGAAGTTCGGAGGTCGGAAAATCCCCACGTCGGGACGTTTGGAGGTCGGAATGTCTTCCGGTCGGGAGGTCATCCGGTCTGGAGATACGCAGGCCTGAGCTCTGCAACTCCGTAAGTGCTCAGGTCGGAAGATCCCACGTCTTGAGGTCCCCAGGTCGGGAAATCCTGCGGTCCGACGGTCGTCGGGACGGTAAGTCCGTAGGTGGGAAGGTCATCAGGTCGGGAATTACTGAGGTCGGGGGGTTTGTAAGTTAGGAGGCTTGCAGTTGGATCAATAAAGCGGAAAGTCTGCGGTCGGTCCAGAGAGTTAGATATTGAAGAAAGTGAGAATGACAATGTGGTCGGATGAGGACACGCGTGGACACGAGAAGTGTTGGCTGACCAAGGAACTGTGGTCCCGGCTACTGAGCAACCGACCAGCTTTATTTGTCCTATCTCCTTAGATGGGCAGACTGTCCTCTACACAAACCTCTGCGTCTGTCTATACTTCTTCCTTGCCCGACCTTCCTCTTCATAGACATCTGCGCCTGTTCGACAATTTTTTTCCGGACTTTTGGGCCATTCGGTTTATATCCTGACCGATCCAGCATCCTACTGCCATTATTTATTACTATTATTATTTTTTTTATGCTCAATAATAATTATATTTTATATTTTATATTTCTTCTCTATAATTTTTATTTTACTTTTTATTTATATTATCTTATATAAAGATATTGGATAATATAATATTGTTCATTATATATTGTTTGAAATTAAATTTATATATTTATTAATTGAGTACAAATTTCAATGATAGATTCAATTAAAATTAATTTTGTATTTTATATATATTTTTTTTTATTTCAATAGTTGAATAATAAATATAGTTAATTATTTTAATTATTGTCAAATAAAAATTAACATTTAAATATACATGTATAATATAATACTATTTTAGAAATAGTTATGATTAATAGTTGATTAATTCATTTCTAAATATTTTAATTATGTATGCACTCGTGCATAGCACGGCTTGAAATGGTAGTTATTTTAATTATTATCACGTTATTATTTTGTTATGGTTAATTATTATCTCTAAGTTGGTCAATTGATTTTGGTTTTGGATTGTAAATGTTTTCTGTTGTTAGTATTTGTTAGGGTATTGAGTGGTAAATGCTTGCTTATTGAATACGAAAGTGGTGATTATCTACTTTAAGACTTATTCAGGGCAACATACCTTGCCTGAGGGAATAGGCACACGAGCGAAACTTTCTATGTTGAAAAACATAACAGGTTATAATCTTTTCTTCAGTCGGATTCTACTTGTTCAAAAATGACGAAATTGTTGCATAAAAATCGTTAAAAAACTTTGACACACTGAGCGGGAATAAAAAACACATAGACGCAGAGGTGATAACACAGTATATAAAAACAAAGATATCAGTTGTAATCATTCAATATTAATCTTAACAAGGATCAAGCTGATGAGATAATGCATGTTTCATCATTATGAAAGTGATGTTGCACTAAAAATCTTGCCCCCAGAATTTTTGGAGTTGCAGCTGTAGAATGGATTTTATTCTATCATACAAAAATCATGTTGAGATGAAATGGTTCTAGGCATTAAGACCACATTAGACTTTGTTGTATACCAAATAAGTATGGACTAAATTAATGTAAGGCTGTAATGGAACAACATATGCATCATATATGTAAATAAAAGTTTTCTGTCGTTAAGTATATGTATTCCAGTTTAGCAAAGAGTATGCTGTTGGCAGCAAGAATCTTCTGCCTGAAATCCGGTACTGTAGGCAGTTATCTCCCATTAATCTAGAGATCAGTGCTGGCAAACAACAATGGTAATATATCCACATACTTGATCTCTAAACCATTAATGGACTTTGAAACATCTATGGCTGTGTATATGGATTGATTCATTCCCAGCATTTCCTGTACAACATTGTCCAATAGCAGGTGATAAGCAGGACATTTACAAAGAAGATTAGCTTAGGAAGATTGAAATATAATTTCCATATTGCTAAATAAATCAATACATAACACAATATAAAAAAAAATGTTTACTGTATAGTCATTTGAAAGCAAACATAGTGCATAAATTATTGATTGTTAACATTAAGGGGAACAATCTCGTTACGAAGGGAAATTGGAATCACGATAAAAAATGTCATGTAATGACAAGTTTGATCACCACTACAATACGAATTTAGATTGAAACTATTGTTGATTTCTTTGATAAATTACCGGTTGATACTATATCTTAGCAGGATCTTCGATGCTCAATTCTGATCTTAGATGTTCGAAAATGTTTGGATCAGAGCTGAAGAATTAAATAGAAGATCATTACCTAATTTGAAACGCAATAATTAGTATTTAATTGTATTCTAAACGGTGTAGGAGAGCAAGAAACACTGATTCACTAACAAACCAGTGCCCTCTCTTAGCCTGTGAATGACACTGATCTTAGAATCTCTAATGTCACTGCATTTAAGTGTATAATAATACTAAATAAACAATATAATAAGCAAATAAGCAATTACATTCATAGGTAAGTACATCCCCACTCTTTAGTACAATAGACAAGTTAATTCTTCTATAGTCATTTACGAAATTTCGAATGAATATCATACCTTGACAGAACGCTAATGTGAATTTGTCTATGTAATAGCATCCAAGTCACTTATGTGAGTAATTGTGGCCATATTCCTCTAGTTAAGCACGTATTGGAGAACTCAATAAGAAGATGTAATTTTTATAATATAAACTGCATTGAATGTCCAACGTAGTTATGAACACTGGATTCTTTAGTTTCAAATAGCTTCTGAAAGCGCATGCCATCTCCTACTTTGGTGTGGTATATAGCCTTCACATATTTTGTCAGAGGTATAACAAACTCAAAGTGTTGACATCTGACAACAAATAGGAGAGCAATCTATAAGAGATAATATACGTACATAAGGTGCAGATGATAGAAAGTCAGTTTACATATATGCTACATGAAAAAACCATAGATGCATAACAATATAAATAGCTAAAAATCAGCTTGCATCAAACAGTAGGAAAAAGCAGGACTGAAAATTCTGACAGAAATAGAAGATTCATGAATAAATAAATGCAGCATAACTGTAACTCACACTAACAAAATTAAGTGTATCATAAAAATATTAGAGAACTTACCATGTTTGATTTAAGCCTCCATAAAAAAATAATCCATGAAAAATCACCCGAAACAAACTAAAGACGGCATGAGATGTGACCAAAAAAGGCAAAAACTGAATAAAAAAGAAATAGATTGTTGACAATAATGTGGGAGTAAGGGTAGCAGGTGGGCTCTTATGGATGCGGACTATGTGGGATTTGGAAGTGGAGGTATATTAATGCCAGCCAATTGTAAAAGCTTCTTGTAAACTATGTTTCTCGTCCAAGAACAATGCATTCCAGTGTTGATGTCTGAAGGAATGAGGACATGCAAAGAGTCAAAAGATTTTGCTCGTGATAGTGCAACATATAGTTGGCCATGCATAAATACTGGTTGTTTCATGTACACTCCAACAACGTCTAATGTCTGCCCTTGTGATTTGTTAATGGTCATTGAGAAGCACAACTTCACTGGAAATTGAGTACGTATGAACTCAACAGAGCATTCATGTATATTGTTAGGCTTTAAAGGTATTCGTGGTATGAAGCATAAAGTTCCTTTTTGTGGGCCAGTTGCAATCTCTGCTTGTAAGAGATTGCGTGTAATTTGCTTGCAAACAAGCCGTGTACCATTTGAAAGGCCATTTGTGGGGTCTAAGTTACGCAATAGCATTATTGGTGCACCTGTCTTCAAAACTAATCTATGAGGTGGCATACCATTAGGTGTCAAAGTATTTAGGTAATCTTCATAATGTGCTTGTTGTGATGGATCTTTAGTTACATCTCTTGCAATTAGTACGATTGGTTCTCCAAACATGCTTTCAATTATTTGATTGTTAATAGTATCAACTGTCTCGTTTGTTGGTGTCAATATAGATCTACCTATTAATGCAGCAGAGGAACTTGGATGGAGTAAATTATGTGGGTAGATCTTGTCAATTAGTTGCAACAAGTCATTATTTTCAGAGGTAATCAATGAAGTTGTTGGGATCTGAATCTCTCCTTTGTTGTTATTTACACAAGAGTTGTTCCCTACTTCCTCAAGAAATGCTGCAAATGATTTATCGTTTTGTGCTCGCATGTTGACAGTTAAGTGAAACTTATCTGCATGTGTAAATAGAGGAGACGATACACAACTTGCTTCGATGTACTGGTCCTTTGTTCCGTCTCTTATGACAGGAGTAATTTGACGGAAATCCCCCCCGAAGATTATAACTTTACCACCAAAACTGATGTTGTTATCCATAATATCTCTCATAGTAATGTCAAAAGCCTCAATTAGTTCACGTCTTGCCATTGAAATTTCATCCCAAATAATTAGGTCGGTATGTCGTAACTCATTTGCTAAGGTAGACTGTTTGCTTATCTGACAAGTCTTATGCTCATTAATATCCAATGGCAATTTGAATTTTGAGTGGGCAGTTTGTCCATTAGGAAGGAGCGATGCAGCAACTCCAGATGTTGCTACAACAATAGATTTAATGGTATGATCAGATGTGTATGACAAAATAGCAGTGTATAAGAAAGTTTTCCCAGTACCAGCTGGTCCATCAACAAAACAGACATAAGGTTTCTTGTTATGCAGTTTCTCAATAATAGTGTTAAAGACGAACTGTTGTTGTAAATTAAGTTTGTCAATAATTCCTGGGAGTGTGACCAGGTTAAATTCTGCAGGCGATGGCTGTTGTAAAGTTATTTCAATTAGGCCATTTTCGGACTGTTCGGGCATGCATATTCCAAAGTCATGAATATGCATACCAAATGGTTCAAGGAATTTTTCTACAATTATGGCAGCAGCACGATCAATAGGAAAAAGTGGAAATGAAGACGAGATTGTGGTAATTGGGACACAATATTGTTTGAACATCTCCCATAGTTGTATAGGTTTAGATGGTGTACAAAAAACAAGTATGGTAGCAAATAATTGTGCAAAAGCATGGGGCATTTGAAAAAGTGCAGCTTCTCGCAAACAATCCACCAATGGAATATCACTCTCTAATAATCCTAACGCGACGCATGCATTTCTAAATGAATCATGTATAACACCATCAATTGTTCTTAAGTCCTCGTATGATACAGGAGCACGACGGTACTGCAAAAGAAGGCGAAGAAAATATCTTTCTTGGTCAGTTGGCCTTGCTGTAACAATCCTCCCTACTATTGAACCTTGTTTGCAAAAATTCCAATTATTGTGTGCCCGATCCCATACAAAATGTTTTGGGAACTCTTTATAAAGTAGATTAAGTGCCTTGGCATATGCGTTGGTTGCATTCATGACAAAGAATTAAGTAAGCATAGTTTTGTGGGCACGTGCATTTGTTACAACATCTTGTAAAGAGTCTGTTACTTTGAATGAAGTGTATTGAAAATTAGGTAAATGCAATTGCAGAGCAAGTACAGGAGGGTGCATATCTGTCAAGGGGAATGCAAAAATACGCCAACAAGCTTCAGGTGGAGCAACCCAACGGCCAGTTTGGAAATCAATAATCTCATCACGAGGTGTGTCGGGTGTTACTGAGCCCACAGTATAGGCAACCCGATCATGACCTTTATACACATATTTGTAGAGATATTTTACAAGTTTGACACTCGAGCATACTTCCAAGTTTATATGACAATCAAACTTAGCAAGTAAATATGGATTATATGGTACCACCCAACGGTTGTCCAAAGTACGTCCACGCACAATAACAAAAATGCCATTATTTTGTCTTTTATACTTAGGATATCCATTTGGAGTATGAATTGTTTCATCCACAAATTCCTTTGGGTAATGATTCTTACATTGTCCATCAACCATGCACACATTAGTTGGGTTTTGAGAGCCACAAGGACCATACATCATATGTTTCAAGACGAGTTGCAATAAGTAGGAGTTTAAGTTACTATTAGGAAGTTCTGCAGATATAAATTTGTCGTAGCTTGTGGGGTTGTGTAATTTAAATTGTGGATACATGATAAGTAACATATGGGCATGTGGCAATCCTCTTTTTTGAAACTCAATGACATATGAATACACCTGCACTTTACCTAGCAAGTGTTGTTTGAAAAGTTCGTTTTTTAGTTCTTCTAGTTTCATTCTAAACACACGAGCAACAATGTCAGGTCTATCAGTTGATAATTCAAATGGTTCTAAGACTTCTTGAATCTCTGGCCATTGTGGATTACAAGTGATTGTAAGGAAAAAATCAGGCTTACCAAATTCTTGTACAAGAGCCATAGCATTCATATATCTTTGTTGCATGTCACGGGGACCACCAATGAAAGAAGATGGAAGGACAACTGGTTGTCCAATCATAGATAACGGTTCATGTTGGGATTGGTTAAAAGCGTCTAGAATACCCTGCATGGTGTCATGACGGTGTTGTTTTTGCACTTGTTCAGACCTGAAAAAATCTAGCCTTTGAGTTTCTATTTTTATGTACTGGTCAGTTATATATTGTTGTAACAAACGACCAGTATGTAATAGTAAAGTAGGACTGGTAGGCCGTATTTGGAGGCGATATGCATAGTATTCTCTAATAGAGACATGACTCTTGTCCATCCGGCGTTTATTACGTCCTAATTGCATACTGTAATCTGAGGAGCTATTTATTGATAGGTCAACTTGTTCAGTATGAAACGACTCTGCTGATAAATTAGGTGTGGACTGTGTAGAGGAAGACGAAGATGTAGCAGAATTTTTCAGAATGCCGGGATACCAACCTGGCTGGCCAAAAGGATGGATCAATGGATATTGAACAGGATCATAGGCATAAGAATAATAATCAACCTTTTTCACAGAACCATCAACCGGATATACTTGTATGTCTCTAGATAATTGGGGACAATCTGAAGACCCATCTTGCCATATAATTGATATATCATCAACCCGTGGAAGATTATACACTCTTCGATCTAATCGATTGGAGGTTTTTAGAAATATTTTATAGTTATCAAGACAAGGCATTGTATATAATTGACGGAATAAACTTGCATAAGGGTTCAGATGAGACAACTCAATCAAGATTGTAACAATAGATGGATGTAAAGTAGGGTAATTACTCAAACGTGTGGCAAGCTCTTGTGTAGGATCATAGTAATAAAGTTGTAGGTTTCTCGGTACATTTGTTGAGGGGAGTAATGAGTTAATGAAATGGTGAATTGTATTGTTAACACGAAATATATATAAGTTGTGATCATTATTACATAAAGATACGTCATAGTGAACTCCTAATGTAGAGAAAGCAAAAGAGTTATTATAAGTTCTAACATAGGTACGACAATGAGATGATAGTTCATGGCGATTAAGGAAAAGGTCTTGCAAAGGAGGTGGCATGTCCAATAGCGGTAAGGAAAACTTCCCACTAGCACAACATAGGGTTTTATGCTCACGGTGGAATAATAATGCACCACAGTAACGACATTTTGTCGGTTGGGGTGCTACCCAAGGCGACACATAAATGGCAGACAATCGTAGTAGTGGAGAGCATGCTGGCAAGATGAGTAAAGTTTCAATAGATACGAAGATACATAATAAATTAAGTAAAGTAACAATATTTAAAAATTTAATAAACTAAAAACCGAAAGTAGAAGACAGAATGTGCATACATGTTTGGTTAACCGGCTGACTATTACTTGTTTGGTTAGCTGATCGGCGATCACATGTTTGTTGCCGACGTCTAATACATTGCAATGACTGAGATTGTGTCATGGGCTGTAAAAAGTAGTTGTAGGTAGAAAACAAATAAATAATAAGAATTTGAGAAAAGAAAAAGACACAAAACGAAAAAAAAAAAGTAAATAAAAAGCTTACTTATGCCCGACAAAGTAAATATAAATTGATAACAACATACAAGTTTTAATACCCAAATCAACTAATACATTAGCTTTACTTTTAAAGTCAACTATAGAAAATTAGTAAACATGTTTAATCCATTTTTTTCGTGGTAAAAACAAAACTTTCTCAAATAATTCAATAACAATGAGATATAAAGATAATTTCTTTTCACTATAAAATTTAACTGGGGAAAAACAAGCATGTTTAAACAAAAAATATACTTTTTTTTTGCACAAGATTACTCTATGTTTTGACCATTTCTTCCACAATCAAGAGCCCTGAATATGAAAATCAGAAATAACAAAGAGCAAATTTATCAACGCTATTGCCGAAGAAGTCGTAAAAATAAATATGCTACTCTAAGTCAAATAGTTTACATAGAATGCAATTTATAAGGTCAGGGAGCAATTCTTAGGGCCATTTGCATCATAACATATTGAAATATGACATCATAGTCCAGAAAAAATAGAACCAATTCTACCGTAAGCCTCGTATTCCAGCTGCCCGAAAGATCATGCAATAAGTTGTGGCTCTTTTTCTTCCCAAATTCAGTGGGTAAGAATTAAAACGTTGACAAAACAGAATAAAAATAGCCCTTCTTTTAAAAGACGCCAACAATAACAGTAACTAAATTCTACGGAAGCAAAAACGAGACAAAACTTAAACTAAAAGTGGTTGAGGCAGAGATCTGTACTTTCAATGGCGAATCAAAATCGCGCTTCCGGTTCACAACAACACAGATTACACACGGGAAAGCCCAACTGTTTAGGAAAACTACATTGTGATGAAGATGATGATACAGAAAGGCGTGGCTGGACGCCAAGAACGGCGGCCTGACCTGCGATTTCAGGAGGTAAGCGGAAGAGCAGAGCAAGTGGGTGTGTGAATAGACAGTTGTGAAGGGGTTGTCGATAAGCAAATCAGTACAGAGGTAGGTTGAAGGGCTAAATTGTTATTTTCGAAATAAGGGGCAGGATAGACTTTTCAAGTGACACATCCGTACAAGCTCGTCTTTTGAAGCTAGTACAAACGGACGGGAATTTGTTATTTTGGAAATGAAGGACAGGATAGACTTTTCAAGTGGTTGTTCCGTACAATCTGGTGTGTGCCCTCAGGTTGTTTGGTCTAGTCGGTTGGTCTGGTTGGTTGTTTTCGGTCGGATTGTCAGGTGAGATGCTTAGCCGTCGGATAGGCAGGCCGGAAGGTACTCTGTCGGTTTCTTCTTGGTTCACAGGTGAGGGTCGGTTGTTTAGTCTGGTCGGTTGAACCTCATTCGGATGGTATGCGGTCGGGCAAACAGATCTGATCGTCAGCAGGTCGGACAGGCAGGTGTGATAGTCTGCAGTCAGATAAAGTAGCTCTGCTGGTCTGCGGTCAGATATACAAGTCAGTTGGTCGGGAGGCAGATAAACAGGTCGCTTGGTGAAGGGGTTTGACAGCGTTTCATCTTGGTGTGGTTGGTTGTTTTCGGTCGGATTGTCAGGTGAGATGCTTAGCAGTCGGATAGGCAGGCCGGAAGGTCCTCGGTCGGTTTCTTCTTGGTTCACGGGTCAGGGTCGGTAGTTTAGTATGGTCGGTTGAATCTCATTCGGATGGTATGCGGTCGGGCAGACAGGTCTGATGGTCAGCAGGTCGGACAGGCAGGTGTGATTAAGGGCTAAATTTTCATTTTTGACATGATAGACTTTTCAAGTGACAGATCCGTAGAAACTCGTGTTTATATAGTATAATATATCATTACATACACACGGTTGCTAGGGTTCGGATTTGTGAATCAGATGCGTTTCCGTGGCATATCATCTGTGGCTTGGGTTGGGTTTGGATGTTTTTAGGTAGGTGAATCGGTTTATTTTGGGTACTCTGAGTTCGAATCATATTTTAGATGCTGATTTGATTTGAGAGTATCTCTTAGTCGATTGAAACCGTCAGAACCGTCGGTTGGAAACCGATCAAGCCTGTATCCATAGTTCCCATTCTCAAAACCCTAGCCCCCAAATTGATCGCCATTTCTGCAGCTGACTCCGCGCGAGAATGGCGTATCTCTTCTTCAAGTCCAAGAGAATCCCTTTGAGGCTGCCTCCAATCTTTTCCTCGGCGGCCAATTTTTCCACCTCCTTTCTCACCACTAAAATTCCGAAGAAGTTCCGGAAGAAACGGAAGAAAAAGGAGAGTCCGCGGACCAAACTCGTGCAAACTGAACCAAACCTCATTCCACACTTGGAGAATATCCTCCGCAAGGATGCGCATTTTAGATTCCTCACGAAAACCAAAGAATACCTCTCCAAACAGTCATGCCAGGTCTTGCGCCTCGACGATGCGGGGAAGCTTCATCAGCAGCTAGGTTTCCCCCGCGGACGCAAAGTCCTGAAATCTATACTCCGGCACCCACTAATTTTCCAAACTTACCGCCATACTGACGGGAAAATGTGGTTTGGATTTACTGATCTCATGGATGGTTTGTTGCGCACTGAAGAGGATCTCATGAATGAATTGGAGCAACAGAGGATTGAAGTTGTTAGGAAACTATTGATGCTTTCTGCGAACAGGAGGATACCCTTGAGTAAGATTTACCACAACAGGCTCTTGTTTGGCATTCCTGAGGATTTTAGGGATAGAGTTTCGAATTATCCTAATTATTTTAGAATAGTGGTTGAAGATGATGGGAAGCGAGTTCTTGAGTTAGTTGATTGGGATAATTCATTGGCAGTAAGTTTTTTAGAGAAAGAATTTCTAGCTGATGAGGAAAGGGCTAAAAGAGCATTTAAATTTCCTGTAAAATATATTAAAGCATTGGATTTGGACATTGATGATGAGAGGAAGCTGAACCTGTTGAATACATTGCCACTAGTGTCGCCGTATATGGATGGGAGCAAGTTGGATCAGTGGACATTGGAAGCAGAGAAATACAGGGTGGGAATTATTCATGAATTTTTGAACTTGACATTGGAGAAAAGAGCGTATATTCATAATATTGTGGAGTTCAAGGAGGAATTTAGTCTCACAAAGCATACTTATCGCATGCTTCAGCAGCAGCCCCGGACATTCTATTTGGCTGGTACTGAGATGAATTGGTGTGTGTTTCTAAAAGACGCTTACGGTAAGGATGGGGAGCTCATTGATAAGGATCCACAAGTGGTGTTCAATGAAAAACTTTATAGTCTTGGGGATTTGCAAGAATTGGACTCTGATTTCATAAACAAACAAAATTAGCACTAGAAGGAGCTCATTGATAAGGATCCACAAATGGTGTTCAATGAAAAACTTTATAGTCTTGGGGATTTGCAAGAATTGGACTCTGATTTCATAAACAAACAAAATTAGCACTAGAATTTAATTATGTACATGGATTGTTGATCTTAGAAGCTGCATGGTTGTTAGTTCATTGAAATTCATACACTGATGTTGTCGGGAACATACATTTGTTTCAAGATAGTTCAAGAAATTCCTTGTATTCGATTGCTCCTTTGCTGGCCTATGTAGATCATTGTGATCCTTCCTTAAATTTTTTAAGAAATTAATTGCTTGATGGATTTTTTCTCGATTTTTCATTGATTGTTGACCTTTATTGGTTTGGCTTGTGACAAAAATGGTGAGTATAAGAACAAGTTTGCTGGAAGGCTACGGAAGCTCCTTTCTAGTGAAGGGACAATCAGGGCATCCATTAAATCTGACTCTGAATAAGTATGTTCCTGAAGTGCTGTTCTGGACGATGAGTGCTTCCGGTTTCTATGCTTACACGCAGTACGATAGGCTTATCCAGAATTTGAAAGGAGTTCAGTTGCCATCGGTAATTTGTTGGAATCGAATCATTGGTGCTGCACAGCCGCTTCAGGATGTCGGAAATTGAGATTTTCTGAACCCGAAAGCTTCGATTGAAGGTTAATTTCTCTCCTCTGATGTTTGGAGTTTCCAACTACACCACTACGCACTAGTTCCATTATACCCTGATTCAAAAAATGAAGAATTGCAGTTAATTTTATGCTTAGTCGTGCCTAGTTTTCACACCTCCTGCGATTTGGAGATAGAATTATTAGTTTCTCTCTCTCTCTCTCTCTGTGGCTTTGTAATACTTATCTGTTGATGGTTTAATGCTGCTGCAAGTTTCCGCCTCAACTATGGAAAAATTATGTTGTTAAAGGAGAACATGAAATGCCTGTATCAACTGTACTTAGTGGCTGGCTCAAGACTGAAGTTTATCATAAATCTTACTGACAAGTGCAATTTTGGTGGGGGCAGTATCATTTTGGTACTTTTATGTGGAATTTGTGGTCCAATTTGTCATTTGTTGTTGCTTTAATTGTCTTAATTATGGTGTGGCATTTACACATTCTTATGGAGAGGAATACACAATGAAAACACAAATTTTTGTGGCGAGATGTTGATATTGATATTTTTCTGTAAAGGGATTGGTTTCTAAGATCACTCATTAGTGCAATAAAAAAATGTGATATAGGATTATTACCAAAGAGGTCTGTCTACTTAAAGGATCAAAGTGAGAAGGGGTTCACTAAAAGACAAAAGTTGCATTTTGTCCCTAACGATTATACAGTACGTACATACAAAGCTAGGTGCTGCAGTAACATTACAATCTTGTTTTTGATATCATATGATATTTTGTTTTTTGCTTTCATGAATCTCTAGTTGTAACTTGCATGTTTCCCTATTGAAGTTGTTCTATTGCAGATCTGGAAAACAAGGGTGCCCCAAAGAAATGGATGAGAGCTTTGCTTGGTCTGAAGAGACCCTATAAACCACAATCTCCTGCGGCGGAAATGAATGTATGCACCACTTTTCATTGTAATTAGTTTTATTTTTATTTATACTACATGCAAGATAAATAAGAAAGGATGGCTGAGGCAATGAGGAAATAAAGAAGGTTGCTCCCTCGAATATTTTGTACTCGTAACTTGTATGCACTACATATTGAGCTGAGCAAAATGGGTGAGAGATTTGAAGTACACAAGACAAGTCATATAATGGTAATGGCCAAAGTGGTGAAAGATACGAACGAGTCCTGATTTGAGTTATTTTCTTGTTTGAATGCGTGGCATTATAGGACACGGAGACGTACCAAAAGAGATCCTATTAGCTTGTAATGACCTAGGATAATAAGTCCATCAGTTTAGTGTTGATCTACCATTGAGAAATGAAAGAAGATTTCAACCTCCAAGTTTCACTCTTACATAGCTTGTTGCTTTTTTGTTTTGGGTACGAATTAGAGTCAAACCAGGATAGCCTACAAGCCTTTTCTCTCCTTGAAAATGAGGTGATCTAGCTTTACCTTCTAGTATGGTTACCTTGTTACAACTTCACTCCACTCATTGACCCTGTCTGTGGGATACCCCTCACCCATTGGCACGAGTCAAATTAGGTAAATGTGATGGATAAACAACCTAAAGCTCAAACTCACAGACTTCTACTTCGTTATTTTTCCTCAAATTCACTCTCTCTGGATGATTGGGATTGGATATTTCGTCACACCAGTATGGCATGCAAAATTGTGGCTCTTCATAATGCATTATAATGCAGATAGCACAGTAGAATCTCTATAGAATGTCCATCTAGTTCCCATTGTTGAGTTTTGGTGGAATTTCCTGAAGTATTTTTGCAAATTTGTTTCAACATACAGTGTTTTGGCTGCTCTCGCAAGATTTGGCACCAAAGGAAGCACTCGGCTGAGATTGATATTTGATAGTGCCATACTTGAAAATGGGTTGAATCGAAATCTCGTTACAGAGATGGAAGATGCTGAAGTCTCTAATATCCAGACAATAACAAATTCAGGCAACTTTCCAACTTCCCTCCAGGTGAATAATGCGGCGAACACAAAACAGAATACAAGAGAAGAATTGGCAGCCATACTCATTCAAGCAGCTTTTAGAGGATTTCTGGTATGGAACTGATTACTCTTCTTTTTGAATTTATTACTGTTAGCTTTCTAATAATTTATAATTCAATTACTGCATTGAGAGTTAGCTTTTCATTGAATTAAGTACTTATGTCCGTTGTTTATCTTAGCGATGGTAAAAGTTGAGTGTTTAACCCAATGTAGAGCATAGTTTTGATTGACCAAGGAAGTTATATGTGTATGTGCTTCTAAAAGAATTTTAGAAACAGTAATGTTACAGGTTAATGGCATTGAATGCAATGCTCTCAAGTCATACTCATACATGTCATGTGTCTGTTGTGGAAATTCTTTTAATTAGAGATTAAAGATTGCTCTCTGTATGACATGCATATTATCTGACATAACAACAAATTCTATTTGCATTTTTCGAAAAGTGAATTCCAAAAGTATGATTTTATCTATGCATGTTCGTCTTAAGTTGGGCATAGTTACTGCATTTGAGAGAGCTCTGAAGTATCGCATTTCTCAAGCCTTCTGTTATTCTAACAGTAGATGAAATTACATGTAGTGCATTCACCATCTTACAGCTAGTCTTTTTCTTTCAGAAGCAGGCAGTAGTTTGAATGGTACCTATTATCGTGTCTTTGTATTATTTTCTTACCGGGTTAGACAAGCATTACGTGCTTTAAAAGCGTTGGTGAAACTTCAAGCCCTTGTCCGTGGCCGTGCTGTGAGAAAGCAAGCTGCCATCACTCTTCAGTGGATGCAGGCTGTAGTTAGGGTTCAGGCTTGCGCCCGAGCAAAACGTGCTAATATACCATTAGAGAATCAAGGGCCGCAAAATAAACCTCAACAACAGCAAAGACACAAGACTCATGTTAAAGAACTTGAAGTAAGCTATGCTTTTTAATCATAATATTTAGTTTGCGAACCAACTTACATTATATACTTTCTGGTGTGTACAGGATTTTTTGGTATCTTGAAGTAGAATGTTGCATATTTATATACGAGTGTGTATCTTGAATTATTTTAAAAATTCATTCATCTAATCAAGGGAGCTCGAGCTCAAGTCTGAAAATCAAACTTGGCTCAATTAAGAGCTTTATTTAGCATACGCTTCTCTTCATATGTAGGTGCTGACGAAATTTTGCTCTTTCCTCTGATATTAAAAGTGTTGGAACAATATTTTTTTTCTCCAACTTTTTTGGCATATGGTTCTTCCTGCTCTTCCCCTGCTGCTTTTCTTTGTTTCTATTCAGGTTGCTGCAACAGACTCTCTGCAGCAGTGCAACACTGCTGGGTCTGTTCTTCTCGATTTGGGAAGCTTAGAAGAGACAAAAAGAATGGATATTTTGGGTGGTCAACCTTTGACAGACTTCATGCAGTGACACATCATTCTATTTTCGTGCAAAGGGTTTTAATTGAGTTTGTCCTGCATGCTTTGTTTGGCTGCTTCTTGGTAAGTCGTGTGGGAAGTTTGGTTGTTGTATGGGTTTAGTGAGAGAACTGTAGTGAGAGAAAGTTAAATCCTCTCAACCCCAACCTTTTCCTTCTCCATGCATTGAGAGAGTGCTAGACACATTTACCTGCCGGAGACCTCGTAGGAGGAAGTAGAGATCGGAAATCCGATCAGGAGATTCATCCAAAGTCTGAGCAACCCTGGTATCTGTTAGTTGTCAGTACGAGTTTGTGACAACTTATGCCTGTTGAGGGATTTTCCTAGGTGATCTGCATTATAGTATGGGTTGAAGGAGTTTTGGGCTGTTTTGTTCATAATCACCTTTGATTAGTGAACTTCTCCTGGATTAGAATCCCCCGGATGTAGGTTGGTTATAACCGAACCGGGTTACCAAATATCGTGTCTTTTATTGCTTTGGATATTGCACTTATTTAGTTGACGAGATGCTATTACAACTGTGATATAACCACGCTTCCGGAGTTGGCCCATTTGGATAAGTGTACGAGAATTTATTGGAGTAGCACTTGTCCCATCCCAACATTTGGTATCAGAGCGGTGTTCTCTAAGTTGCTTAGTAGATTCTTTCACAGTTGCAAAGATGAGTAAGGAAGGTCGATCTACATCGAGACCTCCACTGTTTGATGGAACAAGTTATCGAAGTTGGAAAAACAAAATGGAAGCCTTTCTGATGTTACAAGGTGAAGATGTTTCTGAAGCTGTGGAGTCTGCATGGTCTCATCCCATGAAGACCATTCAAGATGAAGAGAATATCATTTCTCTTGTGAAGAAACCAAAAAGGGAATGGACCCTCAATGAAAAGGCTGCTGCAATCGCCAACTCGAAAGCTCTTTTTTCGACTTTTAATGCTGTAGATGAAACTCAAGCGAAGCTGATATCCAACTGCAAAGTTGCTAAGGAAGCATGGGACATCCTGGAAAATGCATTCGAAGGGTCTGTACAAGTTCGAGAATCAAAGCTGGATCATGTTGAAACCTTGTTTGAAGGACTGAAGATGAATGAAGATGGAACGATCGCTGTTTATCATAACCGATTTATGGATGTTGTGAATAAGCTGAAGCTCTTGGAATGCACTTTGAAGAAAAGAGACTGGTGAGGAAAATGCTTAAAAGTCTCACCAAAAATTTCAGACCGAAGGTGATTATGCTAGATGAACCACCAAAACTGAGAAATATGACATTGGATGAACTGTATGGTACGTTGGTGAGCTATGAAATGAACTATCTCGAAGATGAAGCACCCAAAAGCGTGGCTCTAAATGCTGAAGACTTGAAGATGATAGAGTCTGATGAAGAAATAGCACTGCTGAGCCGTAAACTTTCTCGAATGATTAGTGAGAAACGAGCTGCCAAGCTGAAGTTTGGGAAGTTTCAGAACAGAAATAGCAATCAGGGAGGAGGAACATCCAGTTCTCAACGAAAATACCCTGAGTAGAAACCAACTACATACAATAAGCCAAAAGAAAGATTCGATGGTGGATTTAAGAAGAAGTTTATGGTGTCTGCAAAACCAGAGACGGTTCAAGAACCTACCTGTTATGGATGTGGTGGAGTTGGACATGTTAAATCAGATTGTCCAACAGTAAAGAAAAGGGAAAATAGAGTTTATCAAGCCACATGGAGTGACAATGAAGATGGTGAATCTGCTGGTGGTGAGGAACAGACAGAAAGTGATGAAGTGGTGGCATTTATGGCAAATGTTGGTGAAACCAGTAAAAGAAATGAGGAATCCAGCCCTAAAGCTACTGATGAGTCAAGGGAACTTGATCTGAAGAGTTGATCGAAGCCTATGAGGAAATGGTAATTGAACAGAAGAAAGCTGTAGTGAAGAACAAGGAGATGCTGGAAACAATTTATCGTCTGGAAGATCAAAAAGAAAAACTTGAGGATGAACTTGAAAAACTGAGGAAGATTGCTGATGATAAATCTGCTGAATCACAGAAGTTGAAGTCTGGGAATCTGAAGTTGAGGGATGAAAATGATAGACTTAAGAAAGGAAAAGAAAAATTAGATGAAGTCCTTTCGATTGGTAAACCATTTGGTGATCACAAAGGATTGGGATTCTGTGAATCTTCTCAAAGTAAACCAACTACATTTGTGCGTGGTGGTTTGTTAACTGATGTCAAACTTCCAGAGAAGAATTCAGTACCTGTAAGGAAACAGAACCCAAATAAGAGCGGAAACACAGGCTACAGGCAGCCTGGCAAATGGAATAGTCAATTGCAAACAGATAACAGTAGCAGAGCAACAAATACAAAAACACAATGCACATCTCTCCCACTTGAGAGCAGATGCCAAAAAGGGAACAGACGAGCAGATTAGACAAGCGAAGGGTCCTCCCATTCGTCAGCAAGAACCGAGCCAAACTTCGGCATAAGGTTATCAGCACGGATGATTTTTTGACGATGCTCACCCCGAGTGATGTGGATGGCAGCTTGTTCTTGCACAACTTCTTGAAGAATCCGACGGGCTTCAAGAAGCTGTTCGGTTGCATTAAGGGGGTGTCTTCGGTGATGTCATTGTGCAGACTAAGGATATTAGATTTGGGTTGAAACACCTCAATGTTGATGACATCCCCAGCAGGATCAGGAACAATGCCGTTCTTCTTCAATAGCAGTGTGATCAAAGCAAGATATGGTAAGTTCGTACCTTCAGACTTCTGGCCTCGTGAGAACTTGATCATTTTTTACGTCACAACAAAACCAAAGTTAATGTTAGGACAAAAGCGATCGATGGAATACATTAGTTTACCCATTTCAGAACCAATACTGGTTCCATTGCTGGTTGGATAAATGTTCTTGGCGCAGAGACGGAAGAGACATTGAAATCTCAGTGAGAGCTCAGTGGCACTGAGTCATTTTCTACCAAAGTCCACTGACTTGCATGAGGACAAGAACAGGGCAACATCTCTCGTGGAGTCTTTCAGTAGATCAGAGGGTAGCTCTTCAGGATTTTCAAGAGGGAGTTTTAACAGCTTGTTTATGACGCGCGAGCTTAGCTCAAAAACCTTGCCACGCACATAGGCTTTGTGAAACCAGGGAGAGTCTTCATCTAAGACATGAGCAGAAAGGTTAGCGTAAAACTCCTTGACCAATTTTGGACAGTACCTCTGTAGTTTGACAGCCCAGTGAAACAATCCTTTCCGGCCCAGATAATCGGAAAAACCAACCTCCAAATGCTCATTGCTTGTGAACTATTTTTCAACCACAAATTTTCGGTTTGCGAGAATGTCGTACTCAAACACTTCAGCAAGATCATCAAAGTGTGTAGTATCCATAGCTTGTTCTGCAGTAATGGAATGAGATCCGAGAGCCTTCTGACGAGTTTTGGACTTCTTTCCCTTTATGACTTCCTTTGAAAAAGATCGTTTGAGCCTTTTTCGAAAAGGCCCTGGAACACCAGCAGACAACTTCCTCTTTTTGGAAGGTTGTCTCTTCGACGAGGATGGAATAAACTCAGCCTCCGCGGCCTGTTCTGCAAATGGTTGTTGTTCTGGAGTCGCAACAACCTTATCACTACCTTCCACCCTTTTTCCAGATAACGGAGATTCAGGGACTGTGTCTGGTCCAGACGTTTCGGAAGATGACTCCTTATCTTGAGAAGAAAGCTGACTTACGACCCTGTCAATGAGAGCATCAAGATCTTCAGAAGAAGAATAACGAGGCTCAAGATTTGTACCTCCTGTTTCAATACCAGGAACAACTTGTTCCACAGGAACTTCTTCTTCAGCAGCCACTTCATCCATCTGTGTGTTAGGGACCTCCTGTTCAGCAACATGTTGTGGAACAGCTTCCTCAACATCACCAGCAGTTTGAACTTCTTCAGTAACCATGGGCTCCTAAGCAACCTTTTCGAGTTCTTCAATGGGGGCTTCGCCAGCAATAGTTGGAGGCTCATCTTCAACAGCAGTAGCAACTTCATTTCCAGTGATGATTCCTTCATCTGGAGAAACATTTTCCTCTGGAACCTTCAATTGTTCATTCAAGGACTGTAGGGCTTGTGCAGCAGCATCATCCTCTACTTCCTTCAGATTTCCTTCGTCCAGTGGCGTAGGATTATTAATTGATTCAGAAACCTCCATGGGGTCGGGAAAGGGACTGACAGTTTCACGTCGTCGACCACGACCTCTGCCTCGAGTGCCAACACGCCCACGTCTACCACCTTCGGCCCCAGCGCGACGAACATTCCCAAAACGGGTTCGAGCCATGATTTTTCGCAAGAGAGAAAAGAACAAGAGAAAATCTTGTGACTAGAGGAGATTATCTCCACAAACAACAACTGCCAAATAAATAGCCAGAGAAGAGAGAAGGTTTAAACACGCTTTTGAATTTTCAATTAAAAATTCTCCCCCTTAGTTAGTCAATTCCCGAAAAGGCTGTCTTGACACAGCAGTTGCAGCAATACTGACAACTTTAAGTCACTTCAACTTCTGCAACTTAAATCCTTTTTCTGTAATGATCCTCATCACGCGATTCCCAAAATCCAATTTCCAGAATATATAATTTCTCTTCTTATATATATATATATATATAAGTTCTCACGAGGCCAAAAGTCTGAAGGTACGAACTTACCATATTCTGCTTTGATCACACTGCTATTGAAGAAGAACGGTATTGTTCCTGATCCTGTTGAGGATGTCATCAACATTGAGGTGTTTCAACCCAAATCTAATATCCTCAGTCTGCACAATGACATCACCGAAGACACCCCCCTTAATGCAACCGAACAGCTTCTTGAAGCCCGTCGGATTCTTCAAGAAGTTGTGCAAGAACAAACTGTCATCCGCATCACTCTGGGTGAGCATCATCAGAAAATCATCCGTGCTGTTAACCTTATGCCGAAGATTGGTTCGGTTCTTGCTGACGAAGGGGAGGACCCTTCGCTTGTCTAATCTGCTCGTCTGTTCCCTTTTTGGCATATGCTCTCGAGGGGGAGAGATGTGCATGGTGTTTTTGTGTTTGCTGCTCTGCTACTGTTGTCTGTTTGCAATTGACTATTCCATTTTCCAGGCTGTCTGTAATCTGTGTTTTTTTTTCCTGGCCTGTAACAAATTGATGAACTTACTACTGATTTTGTTTGGATTGATTGGTTTGGTGTGGGAGTGCTTCTCCTGCACATTGGGCGAAGTCCCATATGCCAAAAAGGGGGAGAATGTTGGAATAATATTTTTTTTTCTCCAATGGCATATGGTTCTTCCTGCTTTTCCCTTGCTGCCTTTCTTTGTTTCCATTCAGGTTGCTGGAACAGATTGCATGCAACACTGCTGGGTCTGTTCTTCTCGATTTGGGAAGCTTAGAAGAGACAAAAAGAATGGATATTTTTTGTGGTCAACCTTTGACAGACTTCATGCAGTGACACATCATTCTATTTTTATGCAAAGGGTTTTAATTGAGTTTGTCCTGCATGCTTTCTTTGGCTGCTTCTTGGTAAGTCGTGTGGGAAGTTTGGTTGTTGTATGGGTTTAGTAAGAGAACTGTAGTGAGAGAAAGTTAAATCCTCTCAACCCCAACTTTTTCCTTCTCCATGCATTGAGAGAGTGCTAGACACATTTACCTGCCGGAGACCTCGTAGGAGGAAGTAGAGATCGGAAATCCGATCAGGAGATTCATCCAAAGTCTGAGCAACCCTGCTATCTGTTAGTTGTCAGTACGAGTTTGTGACAACTTATGCCTGTGGAGGGATTTTCCTAGGTGATCTGCATTATAGTATGGGTTGAAGGAGTTTTGGGCTGTTTTGTTCATAATCACCTTTGATTAGTGAACTTCTCCTGGATTAGAATCCACCGGATGTAGGTTGGTTATAACCGAACCGGGTTACCAAATATCTTGTCTTTTATTGCTTTGGATATTGCACTTATTTCGTTGACAAGATGCCGTTACAACTGTGACATAACCACGCTTCGGGGGTTGACCCATTTGGATAAGTGTACGAGAATTTATTGGAGTAGCACTTATCCCATCCCAACAAAAAGTAAGAATTTGGTTTACATGAAGAGTAGATTAGAGCAATTAATAAGCCTTGTTTTGTTTCTAGCTTGGAAAGGCTAGGAACATTGCACAATCTGTTATCTTTGGTTTAATAGAAATTGTTTGTGTGCAAACCTGGTGGAAAACGTCATTTCTTGATACTTGGTGGAATGCTCCATAGATGTCATTTCACCTATCCGGATTTGAAAAAACATGCAGGCAGACCTTTGAGTTTTCCATTTGATTCAAGTTTATATTGAGCCAATCTCGAGCTTGCTCCATCAAATAAACAATTTTAAAAAATGTTAGAACCCCTCTTGGCTTGGTTAATGAATGAAACATTGAGCTCAATTTTTGAATTCTGTGCCCTAATTTTCTAATTTTGGATGAATTGAATCGATTTCTTGATTTTTAATTCGCGGGTGCATGCAGATTCAAGTGATTTGACAAATGGGTACCTGGATTCGACCATTCTTGAAATTCCAGGTTATGGAGGGTATCCGCCTGCGAGACATCCCAAGCTTCGTAAGAACGACGAATCCTGACGAATTCATGGTCAAATTCGAGCTCATTGATAAGGATCCACAAGTGGTGTTCAATGAAAAACTTTATAGTCTTGGGGATTTGCAAGAATTGGGCTCTGATTTCATAATCAAACAAAATTAGCACTAGAATTTAATTATGTACAGGGATTGTTGATCTTAGAAGCTGCATGGTTGTTAGTTCATTGAAATTCATACACTAATGTTATCGGAAATATACATTTGTTTCAAAATAGTTCAAGAATTCATTGTAGTTGATTGCTCCTTTGCTGGCCTATGTAGATCTTTTTGATCCTTCCTTAGATTTTTTAAGAAATTAATTTCTTGATGGATTTTTTCTCGATTTTTCATTGATTGTTGACCTTTATTTGTTCAGCTTGTGACAGTTATGGTGAGTATAAGATCTAGTTTGCTGTAAAGCTTCGGCAGCTGCTTTCAAGTGAAGGGACAATCGGAGCATCCATTAAATCCGACTCTTAACAAGTATGTTCCCTGTAACTTTAGTTATTTTTGTTCGAATTACATGTAAGGAAGTACACTAGTAGAAATTTTCAATGCAGAGTAATGCTCTCTTCTTCTATTTAAATCACTAAATTGACATGAAACATAACCTTCTTATTCTTTATTTGGTACAATTTATCTCAGATTTAAGCTTTAATTTTGTTAATATCTATTTGTATATTTTGTTTTTATATTAGGCTTACTCCATGATTTGAGCACCACACCCTTCTTCTGATCATTTAAATTCTACTTTTAGTCGGAACATTTGAAATTGTTGGGATATTTGAGTTTCTTGGCACATTATGCCATGATCTTGTGCTGCCTAGAAACCTTTTTTTTTTTTTTTTTTTTTTTTTTTTTTTTATACCGTGGAAATTCGCAATCGATATTCAAAAGTCCTACGAACCTTTATTCTTTTATTTTATTTTTTTATTGTTTGATTCTTTTGTAGCTCCAAGTATAAAGGAATTTGTGGACAAAGTGATTCAATGCCCGCTGCGAGATTGCTGGAAATATTTGAAATTTGTTTCTCTTTCTTTTATTATGTTTTCGATAATGTCAACAAATTTCAAATACTCCATCTGTACTTTAACAATCTATCCATTTTTTTTATTTTGGTCCGTCTCATAACAAAGTGTCCAATTTTTTATTTTTTATTTTTAAGTAATTGTACTATCTATTTAACATTACAGATATTCTTTCAATTTATAATATATTACACAAATGTCATTACTTTTATATCTTAACATTACAAATATCCTTCCAATTTACAATATATTATACAAATGTCATTATTTTTATATCCGTGTAAAAAGCAAATGGATGTATAGATATGGAACGAAGGGACTCGTAACTTTTATCATGTTGCTAATAAAATAGAATTTTGAGGCGGTCCATATTTATTAAAAGTGTATATTATAAATATAACTTGCATTATAAGTGAAGAAAAGAAATCAAAGGAATGTGAAATTGACATTGAAAAAAAATAAAATTAAGTGTATTATCTAATCACACTTATAGGTTGTAATCTTTTTAATTTGGAATATTATATTAATTATTAAGAATTGTGAAAACGATTTTAGAAACTATGGGGTTGGTATGGCTTGGTTTTTGTTTGAGTTTATATATATATATATATATATGTATAAATTTAAATTTAAACATATAATAGTTGTAATATGATATTATATGAAATAAAATAATTTGTCTATAATTGTACGAGTTAAATAAAATTATTTTTTGTTTGAAATAAAAATCAAATACAAATTACACACACATGATGTTGTATGAATAAAGTAGTTTTTTATTTTTAAAATACTTTTTGAAATAAATAATAGTATATTTTTATAAAAAAAATATAAGTAATTTTTTGATTAAAAATAATAAAGAAATAAAATTAAAAAAAACCCAAGTGTTGGTAATATTATTATAGGAATAATCAATAAAAATATTAATTATCTTTAATGCTAATCACTGTTTTGTATATATATATTAATATATTTCTGTTGTATTCTTTTGTGGATTTTACAAAAGTACTATTCAAATTTTTTTTTTTAAAAATATCAAATCAAATAATTACTTTTTTTTTATTATTATATTATACTACAAATTTATTTACATTTAAGACATCACATCAATTTCTATTTATATCGCATCAAATAACTATTTAAATTCAACTTTTTACTATTCAAAAATCCAAATAAAAAACTAAAACTCACAGACAAACACACCCATAATGTTTATATATATATATATATATATACCGGTAATATATATGTTTGTGTGTATAAATATATAGGTTGTAAGTTTATAATATTATTTATGTAGGTATGATGAAGTATATATATATACACACACAATCCTTATATTGCTCTCCGGCAACAACATCAAAATTGCTAGTTTACCGTGCAACTGCAAAATAAAATATTAGTTCATACGTGACAATATGCAAAATGCAATAACATTGGTGAGTACAGCCGTATATGTGGAAAAACAGTAACGATTTGACACTTGGTTGAATATAATTATACTAATATATATAAATTGGGGGATTTTGATTTACCACTAAACAAGAGAAAATAAAATTAACTCAATTAAATAAACTAAACTAAAATGCAAAATGATTGATTTGCCAAAAATAATTAAATTCTAGCATTGTCATGAATTTCTTGTTCGGGACATGAAATTTGTTCATCAACTGAAACTCAAGTTCATTGACTAGTTGGATAAATTGGTTATAGTTATCTACACATTCACAACCAATATTTTCTTATTTTTTAGATAGCTAAGGTACAACCGTTAGTTATTTCCCTAATCGAGTGAAAATCATAGGTACGATCGTAATATTACTGACTCGACAACATTAAGGACTAGAAAGATCCAATTAAATTTAACAAAATTCCTACGCAGCTTTGTTCAAAATTGTTTTTAATTATTCACTAGAATATTTTTCATCTTGTTTGTTACTCCAATTGAAAGATTGCAATATTACGGGTGTCAATTTTCAATACAGCTATGAAATCTCAAACTAATATATCCGCAATCATCAATTCAAGATTTCTAAACTCATATATCAGAAGAATTAAAAATACCAACATCAATAATCACCAACTTTAATAAAACGAAGTCTCACAAATTCAATCTCAAATATAAAAAACATACAAACAACAAACTCAAGACAAAATATAAACATCACTATGCCTCAATTTGAGAATCGACAAAGAAAAACCAATTATAAGAATAAAGAATGCCTGGAAGTTCTGTATGCACTGAGCCTGGGAGTTCTCTATATTCTCTTTTCTTCACTGCGTTTTCTTCTCCTCTCCAAGGACTGATGTCGTGATTATTCGTTTCTCTCATTCTCTTTAATTTTACACTGCTCTTTTTTAATTTCTCATCACAAGATCACCTTTGACATTTAAGATTCAACTATTTTAAATTGTCAATTTATCCCTGAGAGTCTTCTTGTAAATTTTTATATTTTCCACGTTGCGCTATTTTTAGAAGGTATCATGCCTAAAACTTTTCTGCATTCTGCCCATTTTCTTCCAAATATGTGCCAAAAATTTTCCAACTCCATGAAGCTTAATAAAAAAACCAAAAATAACCATCATGAGTATATATATATATATAATATCACATCTAAAAGTCGTCCGAAATATAAAAAAATATTATCATATATAAAACATATCATCCGACGTACTACGCGGGTGTCATGTGCATGTTTTCGGCACTAGGGAACCAATTGTGCAAAAAAATTTACTAATTGGACCATTTTTATATAGGTTATAATTATAGTACTAAAATGATAAAAGAGTTAATTACGAGATTAAAAAATAATTTTTTCAAAAATTTAATATTCCACCTGTTCGCCAGGTGGTGTTTACTTGGCAGCCACGTGTTCTCCGGCGTTGCACGCAAAAAGCTTTGGCATTGGAGGACCAAATGTGCCAAAAAAAATATTTACCGGACTAAAATAATAAGGGTTCCAATTACAAAACTAAAAAATAATTTACATATATTCAAAAGTTAATCACTCCCTCCGTCCGGTTCGATCTTACTTTCTGATTTTCTGTAAATACGAAAATTTAGATAATAATATAAGTAGTAAATAATTAAGAAGTATATAACAAATCCGTCTCAAAAGGGTTGTCTTGTTCTTCAATTTCTGTCCGTTCCAAAACAATTGTTTTGTTTCCTTATTTAGTAATCGTGGTCCCACTTTACAACAAAATTATTCTTATTTTTTCACAACTATCCATAATTATTATTCTAACTTCATTTTTAAAACCCTTCAAAAAAGCAAAGGTAATTTAGTCTTTTATATTTTATTTTATACCCACTTTCAATTAAATACTATTATTTTAACTTTCGTACCAACTCCCAACAAAATATTTTTTATGAGACTGTGAGAGTATTATATATTTAAATTAAAATAACTAATTAATTTAATTAAAATAATAAATAATAAATTATGAGAGTTAAAATGCAATTAAAGAGTCTAATTATTTTCCAAAAAAATAAAGCGACAAATGTGTAGGACGAATAAAAAAAAAGGATAAATTATATAGAATAAAAGGAATATTTAATATAATATTATAGATGCGGATCTAGTGTTGATTATAAATATGTTATATTGTATATAATATATATTATACATCTTTATTGGATCAAAACCCCAAATTCACTCAAAACAAAACAACACCAACCAAGATTAAAATTGTAAGTTCCCAAAATATGGATGTTCGTTGTATAATCAGACTAGTCATACAAACTAATAACAGAAAAAGCAAAAAATACGAACAAATCTTAACCTGATTCGGTATAACCAGCTCACATTTGAGGTGTTCCAAACTAAGAGATTTTCACAATCAAAACATATGAAGCATGATGATTAATTGATACAATCAGAGTCACTCTATTACAGAAATGAACACTTCTCAATTTCTTGAACACACCCCAAAATCCATCCTACCTCACCCTTTCAATCACTTTGATCTAATATCTCATCTTATCTACCCAAACAATCTAATGCTATCAGCACACACTTTTTCATTATTTCTCACAATTACACTTGATTTTTCTTTTCAAAACTCTTTCAATTTTCTTTTATACCAGCAACTCTAATTTTTCCTTTATGCTAATGACCTTCCTCGTACGGTTGTTTTTCTTCCAGAAGATTCTTTAACAAATTTTCAAATATTTCTTATTGCATCGTCCATATGGAATCAATTTTGTTACAACCTTGTTGAAAGACCAACGAATTTTTTCGATCAATTATGCTCGTCTCCATGAGTCTAATCAATTTCGAGTCATATGCTTATTTGGTTGGGCTCAAAAGAAATTGGGTTGCATCTGTTCGCGCATTGTTCAACCCAGTTGTAGACAACACAATCAAAACCCAAGAACAAATATCATCAACTTTCAACAAGCACCATATGATTCACCACCAATAATATAGTCCCGTACGGAATGACCTAGTGGCGTGGACAATAGCGGATGCAACCGTCTTTTTAAATGGGTGCACAATTTAATAAGTTATCACTGTACTATCTCCGTCCCCCTTAAATTGTTCTATTTTGTTTGGGCACAGAGTTTTAGGTACTGTGTAATTAATAAGTAATTAAAAATATATTAGTAAATATAATTATAATTTAATAAAAATAATTATAGATTAAGATTAAAATAACTAAATAGTTTAATTAAAATAAAAAATTAGAAATAAAAAATTTTAAAATGTAATTAAAGTGTATAGTTATATTTCCAAAAAATGAAAAGACAAATTATGTGAAACGAGTGAAAATAAAACGAGTTGATAAATTAAATGGAATGAAGGGTGTAATATATAGGACGAATAATATGTATTCATTTAATTACATTATTATTTGCAACAGTTTAAAGTAAAAAAAATGAAGAGAGATTAGAACTTGAATAAAAAAAAATTATACATAATTATTATTATTATTTTTTAAATCGCAATCTATGAAACAATTTTAAAAAATAAATTTATAAATATAATTTGTTAATTGAGTATTTGAATTACAAGTAAATTAAATAATTAATATACATACATAATATTCAAGTCGGGTACTGTGACCCCACTTTGTCTTTATAGATCCGCCAATGGGTGTGGGTGGTTGGACGTGTGACCGTGAGGTCATGGGTTTAAACTCTTGACGCTTCAGGTCACCTGCTACACATGATTCACCTAGTGTGACTTGTTTATCGGACCTAATTTGCAGGGTATTATATTCGGCCGGGGGTTTACCTAGTGCGCGCTTTTGGGCAGTGATTGCGGATTCCTATATCATAAAAAAATAATAAGAATAATATAGGACGAATTATATGTATTCATTTATTTTTTTGTACGTGAATTATAATAGATTAGTATTTTATATGTAATAGTACAATAAAAATATAAAATACAATTTTTCCTTTAAACCTATTTTATTTTTAATGTCATTTTTGGTAATATTGTTTAAAACGTAGAAGTATTTTTATTAAAGTAAAATAATTTTACCAAAAAAAAGAAACATATATATATATGAGTTAGATATATAAAAATAAAATAATAATTACAAATAACTCGAACGGATGGAATATTTTTTTATTTAAAATAAAAATACTCTCCTCATGCAATTTTAATTGACATATTTTTTTTGTTTGTTATATAATAATTCATACTTTTTTTTTTGGTAAAACATAATAAATTAAAACGTATTTAACAAATATATAAAAACTTAATTAACTATATATATAACATCACTCAAAACTCTTTTATTTAGATAGCTATATTAAAAAAATAATTTTTTTATTTACATTTAAAATTTCACATCTTTTATAAAATTAGTTTATATTAATTATAAACAAATAAAATATTTTTTTTTATTTACTTATATTATAAAAAATTTTATTCTCAAAAAATTTGATATTCACATTGTATATAGTTTTTTCTATTGTGATATAATTTTTAAAATATTTAAGTACATATTCTAAATTTTTTAATCATATATATTAAATTTATTAAATTATCAATATTATTAATTATAAAAAATAATAAAACAATACTACTTTCGTCCGACTCTAAGAGTCATATTTATTTTTTGTATATTGATATTTGAATATTAATTATTACATCAAAATATAATACAAATTAAGAAAAAATAATAAAAATATTTCAATTAGTGTTATAATAATATTATAATGATATTTGTGGAAAAAAAAACTATAAAAATATAAGAATATTAAATCCTTTGGAACCGAAAGAAAGAAATACCATAATTCATTATTATTATTATTATTAACTAATTAAATATTATCATTTTAAATAGGGTATATCTAATAAAAATGGCCAATTGTTCAGCAAATAAAATTATTTTAAAAAAATTCAAATTAAAAATATAGAAGACTCACATCCATGATATCGACGCCAATGGTTTCCCTACATTGAAATGAAATTTGTATAGGCTATGTTTCAACAACCGATGTACGAACAAAGTTACAATACAAAAGCAAAAGCGTAAGCACTCTAGTCTGTAGTCCCGCGACTTCCCCACTCCAATGTAGCTATCGTCACCGACTGTGACCACTCCCTGCATCACAGTCCACTCTTATTTATCCATAACCGTCCGTCACCCAATCACACACAGTCACATTCACATGGCGCCATTCAACACTCTACTCCTGCTCCTCCTCCTTATCCACCTTACCACGGCGGCGCGCGCCATCGGAATCAACTACGGTACGGTGGCCGACAACCTCCCTCCGCCGTCCACGGTGGCCGCCTTCATCCGCCACCACACCACCATCGACATGGTCAAGATCTTCGATTCCAACACCGATATAATCAAAGCTTTCGCCTACACCAACATTTCCCTCACAATAACCGTCCCAAACGACGGCGTTCTGGCCCTCGCGAAGCCCTCCGCAGCCGCGCCATGGCTCGCCGCCAACGTCCTCCGCCACCTCCCCGCCACCAAAATTCGCCGCATCGTCGTCGGAAACGAAATCCTCTCCACCAGAAACAAAACCCTAATTGCTCACCTCCTGCCGGCGATGAAATCCATCCACTCTGCTCTCCAATCCGCCGGAACCACCGCCGGAGAAATTCAAGTCTCCACTCCACATTCCCTCAGCAAAATCTCCACCTCCGGCGCGCCGAGCTCCGGCCGGTTCCGTCACGGCTACGATCGGATCATCTTCGCGCCGATTCTCGAATTCCATCGCCAAACCAAATCGCCGTTCATGATTTGCCCCTATCCGTACTTCGGCTTCACCGGGAAAACCCTAAATTACGCACTGTTCCAACCAAACGGCGCCGTTTTGGACGAAGGCACAAATTTGAACTACAGCAACATGTTCGACGCACAAATCGACGCCGTTTACTCCGCCATGACTCGCCTCGGCTACGGCGACGTCGACATCGTGGTGGCGGAGACCGGCTGGCCGTCCGCCGGCGACTCCGCTCTTCAGCCGCACGCGACCTTGCAGAACGCGAGGTCCTACAACTCCAATCTCCTCAAGCACCTCAACTCCGGCGTCGGAACGCCGCTGATGCCTAATCGGACCTTCGAAACCTACATATTCTCACTCTTCAACGAAAACCTCAAGCCGAACATACAGGAACAGAATTTCGGACTTTTCCGGCCGGACTTCCGCCCTGTTTACGACATCGGCGTTCTCCGCAGTCCACAGGTGAGATCGATCAATTAATTTTCAATTAAATTAACACTCGCGTACCTGAATTCGAAACCTAATTTCGATTAATTATAGAGAAAATTTCCTTGCAGTCCGGCGGACGGACGGCTCCAGATGCTTCTTCGGCGGTCTCGAATGGGGGAGATACTGAAAAGACACGGTGCGTGCCAAAGAGTGATGAAATGAACGCTTCTTCTCAGCAAGCTGGTGGCGGCCGCGACTCCGATTGTGATTCCGGCCAAACCGCCGCCGTAGCGATGTCAGGCGATCGGAGTGAGTCGGTCATCCTTGGTGCGTCGTCGTTATTATTCGTAGTCTTCCTTCGGCAACTGTTGCTAATACTGAGTATGCATCTTTTGGATACATTGATTGCTTGAGAGGTTTTATATTTTTCCAAAAAAAAATACTGCAGTTAATTTGAAGGGATAATACCACTTTATTTATTTTTATTTTATATTTTTACTACACGGAAATTATTTTGATTGATTCTTAAAATTATTATTATTTATTATTATTATTATTATTGTTGTTGATAATATAAAAGTGATAAAGAATATGATAATATTTATTACTATTATTTTAAATATTTAATAAAAGATAATAATTTAAAAATAAAATATATTAATAAATTATTATCAATTTTTTTTTAAAATATGTATTTTTATATTATAAATATAATATTGGAAATTACTATTATCGTAATATAAATATGTATTATTATTTTTTTTTTAATTATTGAATACACTGTATTGTCGGTATAGTTAAGTAAATATATATTTTTTTCGTTGAACTGTTCGTTATATTGATCTACTTTTAACTTTTGTTTCTTATGCAAAATTGTAAATGTAGTTTTTTATTTTTGGTGTGATTGTTTTGTGAAATATTTGGAAGGAATATTTTTTAAAATATAAGAAATTGTGTATATAATATAAAAATAATAAATGTGTGTGATATATTAATTTTTTACAAAATTTATTACATAAGAATAATAATAATAACTAATAAAAAATATAAAAATAAATTGATATATTAAATGATAATATAATAAAAATTATAAAATTTAAAATATAATATAAATAGTAGCATTATATATGTTACAATATTTCTATATTATTAATAATTATATATTATTTATTAATATTACTTATATTTTACAAAATATAATAATATCTAATAAATATTTGTAAAATTTGTGTTTACATACAATTATATAAATTAATAAAAAAAATATAATTTACAATACTACAAAATTCATATAAATTCATAAAAAAAATCCAATAAAATCTATAAGAATCCATCTAAATTAATTAATAAAATTTATCAAATTCTGCGAACTCCGTGGACTTTCTAAATCTACATAAATCTATCTTTTTTAAAATTAAAAAAAAATACAAAAAAATCCCAAGTGAATACACCCTGAACCTAAAATAAAATAATGCTAGCCAAAAAATCATGTTTGTCTAACTAACTACAAACCAAATAGTTCCTCTTCATCCAATTTTATTCATATATATATTTTTTTCATCTAAATTTATTATCATTTCCGTTTTTAGTAATTTTTTTCTTATTTAAAAAAGTAAAAATTTCTATTTTTATCTATTTTTTTCTAAAATTCGTATCCAATCAAATGAGTACACAATTGGATGACAAAATGAGTAAAAAATATCGTACTTAGAATGATATTGAACTCAAACTTATATTTTTATCCGAAGTAATTGTTTGTGAGTCCATGAGATGACGTATGTTGGATGTATGTTGAATCAAAGAGAAGACAATAGTAATATTAAGAACACGATTGGCACAAATATTTGTATCCATAGGAATTCTTTGTGAGTTCATTACATGACATATGTGAACATAGTGAAATCAACAGAAATATTAAGAACACAGTTGGCACACACACACATATATATATATATATATATATATATAGGGTTTGTTCACTATTGTTGTGCACGGGAATGATTACCAATAAATATTATATTAAAGAAATACAATGTTGTTATTGTAGGTTGAAATTTTTTCGATTAAATGATAACTAAAGGCTTCTTTATAAAGGATTTAGAGTAATTAAAACTTTAATTCAGCAGTGCTCAGAAGATGTTTGATAGTAAAATATTAGGAAAAATTAGGAAAGAAGTGTAAAAATTAAATAAATTGCAGAAATAAAAATAAAATATAATTTTGTATTGAGATATGTGAATTTGCCTTATAATGAATACGATATACTATTTTATAGAATCTAAACAGTGTTTATCAATCGACACGCCTTTTCAATCTCTTTGTACTATGAAAGGACGCAACACTTCATACATAAAATAAGAAGTTTATAATAATTAATATTTATTTTTTAATTAAATTTAAATTTGAAATTTTATCAAAATATTCATACAAGATAATCTTGAAATTTTGATATTTTGTTAACAAAAATCAAAGATATTATAATTAAGATAAAATTTGATATCATATGAAAATCAAATTTTCAGCCATAATCAATTTTTTTTTGCAATTTCTCTTCTTTATTGTCTTGTCACCGCAATATTGAAGTCATATCCATGGTTTAGTTCTCCTTTATGTTCTGTCCACGTATATTTATGTGCCAACGCAAATATTAACCTAAACATTTCCACAGTTACCTACTTAATTTCTTGACAAATATAATTTTTCTTTTGTCCATGGGTATCATTATTTATTATTTTATTTTTCTTGTCCATGGACTTTACCTTATCCATGGGTTTCACCTTGTCTATGGTTATATTTAAAAATATTTTCTTGTCCACATATTTCACTTTTTTCATGGATATCACATTGTCCATGGATTTTATATTTTTCATGGATTTCAATTATTTTCATAAAAAACTATTTTTCTATGGTAACATAGGCCTTCCTTAGGCCTTAAATTTATTTTATTCCAGAACTATTATTCTTATTAACTAGCACACTCGGGTGGCTTTTAGGGGGTTGGTCACCATTGCAATGCCTATACACCTCAACCATTTGATGCATCCGGACAATTAATTTTTTGTGGTAACATAAGTCCCCCTTCAGTCATATGGTTGAATCATTTGAAGTTATATGATAAATAATATTCCAGGAACTCAGAATTCTAGATCCGTAAACACCTATCGGAGAGTGATTTGACGATAAAAGAATAATTATCGTTAGGCCATTGTTCGACCGTGACCTTGATTTGATACGTACCAATCCAGATCTCGACTAAGGGTACAACTTGAAGGTATTCTCCAGCTGTTGACACATGTTCTGGATTGCTACCAATACATTAACTCCTAGTTGTTAGAGTCGGCCTCATTTTGGACCGCGCATATCATCTGAAATCAATGGAATGTAGATCAACACAAATCCCAAGGCTTAATTTCCATAGATATGATCACAATTGGTTTTATGCCCTTTAGGTATAGAGGTATCAATTCATACATTTCGGTGTTGTGTCTGAAAATTTTCAGATCTACTCCCACCACTTTAATCTTATCATTGTCACAAAATATTAATTGTTGACAAATATTGGATGGAACGTAACGAGAAGAATGAATCCAATTCCTAACTTGGTGGATGATGTTTATAGTATTTTTGAATTCAGACGGTGCACTTGCATTTTTGTGTCCTTGGATGTGGCTTGGACGATATATCCGACTAGGTGTATGATCATTGTCTCGAGCTATACATTTGGCTACGGTATTTTCAACCAACAGATAAACTTTTATTTATGTCTCAATTTCTGCATTGCTTTTCCTACAACTGTATAGGGACCATCCTTGAGGTGTTATGTTGTCTTGAAGGAGTACTTCCCCTAGTGAAGTCGGTTGTACTGTTACAGTGGGGATCTGAACCTTAGGGAAAGGTTCATTATCCACTTTCATACTGGCGAGTTTGAGACGCCCGTTTTTTATGGATTTATGGATGATCATCCTAAAGTGAAGGTAATTTATGGTGGCATGTGGAAAGAAATTATGTCATTTCTAATATATTTGCCCTTTGATTTTCTGAGGCAAAACCAATTTTTGACCTCTAGGGATGCGGATTTGACGTTCCTTAAGTAGCTCATAAAAAATTGCATCGGCATCGGTAATATCAAACAAGCAATCCTCGCTCAGTATCTTGGGCACGTCTTTATCATTTGGAGACTTAAGATTTGAGCAAGTGTAAGGCTTGCCCGGTACCAGTTTTACTGCGGCTTCTTCAATAACATCCAGAAGTTCATACCCGTTATTGTATCCTCCACATTAATTATAGCAATTTGGTGCCTTTCTCGTTCGCTTTTGCTCTCTTTCTCATGAAAAGACGTTCCAGACGTGCAGTCCTAGCTGTTAATTGTGCTAAGTCTTGCACTTCGTGGGCTGTAAGCAGATCACGGAGACATGAAAACATGCTCCTGACTGCAATATTGGCGAGTTCAGTTTCATTTATAATTATTGGAGATCGAGCTTAGTTCGCTTGATTTTCTCGATAAAGGTAGTGGCTAATTCGCAAACTCTTGTTTTGTTTCCATTAAATCCGTAAGTGTAGTCTCTGGTATTGTAAAACCTTCGTGAAACTCTTCTTCCATTTGAGCATAATTTGGTATGGAATCAATACGGAGAGATGAGTACCAAATAAATGCAGTCCTGGTAAGAGTTAAAGGGAATAATTGCAACTTATAAAATTAATTAAGTGACAATTCCACAATAAGTATCATAAATCTGGCTACGTGTTCAATAGAGGGTTGGTCATCTTCTCCGGAGAACAATAAAGATTCTGGAATCCTAACTTGTCGCGGCAATGGATAATTTAGTTCCACCCATTCTGAAAAAGTTTCCGGTATGCAAGATTATGTGGGCCATGGCCTTGGTCACCCAAGTGTTGACGCATAACATCTTGGATCATTCGAGCCACATCAGGGTTAAATTTATGTGTTGGTTTTAATATAGGTTGAGGATTCTATACTGGTCGTGGTTCCAATACATTATTCGGCCTTGGAAATGTTGGTGGTACCCGGGCTTGATGAAAGCTAGGTGTTGTCCCAAGAAGGTTCCCGTATGGCGTAATAGTCTGTTGTTGAGCAATACGCGTACATGGTTCGCCAATACGTGTACATGGCTCACCATTGCATATGTGTTTCCGGAGTGTAATAGCTTTGGGGTGTATCCCATACTTTGTGGTACGTTGTATGTTTGGGTGGTATTGGCGTTGGTAAACAGTGGTACCGATGTGTGCGGACATTGTTGGCCATGATTCCTAACTTCGAAAGACGTAAGTGGCCTTAATTCATACGTTCCAATGCCACATTCCACTTGGAAAAATCGAAGGGGTCATGTTTATACTTGCTATATGTTGGGTTGTAGCTAGAAAATTGTGGATGAGTTGTTGACATATTTCTTCAGATAGTACAACCATACTGCTATGGGTTGCCAGGTTTGATGATTCTTGGCCATTAGATGGCGCCGGCCTTTCCATTCGGA